ATACGACGCCGAGAGCCGGCGTCTTTAGCAGATAAGGAACTGCAGTTCCTTGTTGTTACCGCGCCTGTTTTTGTTTCTGCGACTGTCGCCGCCTGCGGAACGCGCGCCGCTTTTGAGTCGAAAAGATAGTCTGCTAAAGACGCTGGCTCTCGGCGCCCGTATGCTCGTTCGTTGGCGTATTGGCGGCGTTCGTTGCACCATCTCTTGTCTCCCGCGCGAAACGGCGCCGTGTGGTTGGCAGACCGGTGGCGTCGCTGCGTTTCCATAGGAGCTAAGCCTTTTTCTTTCTTTAGTTTTTCGTCAGGTAAGTTCGCTGCTAGCAAATTTTACAAAAAAAAAATGCACCATCTGTGGGTAACGCTGCACAAAGTCGTAGCGCGATTAAGAAAAATTGCGGTGGCTTAGCTCGGCTATGCCAGGATATAGACCAGTGTCCGATATCCTAGCCCCCAGCGATAAAAATGGGAAATAATAATCTCAAACGCAGGCTCTTGTAAAGAGGGGGGGGGCTGCGCATAAAACAATATTTTTGCTTTTTACAACGCTCTTGGCGTCGGTGCGGTTCTTGGAGCTTCGTGACTGTGCATTTCTTACCTTCTTGCACTATACTTCGTTTCACCTTATGTCCGAGCGCGGACGATGTTATGAGCCGAAGGGCCAATCAAACAGCGCAAAAAGCGCAACGTCAAGGCGTGCTCCCTGCGCTTGATAGGACTAGCCGGCAGAGGAGCACGCAAAGAGGGACGGCGAATACCGGCTATTCCTATCAACTGCAGAGAGCACACCATGACGTTGTGCCTTTTTCGCTGTTTGATTGGCGCTTCGACTCAACATCGGCCGCGCTCGGGCCTAGGCTGAAACGAAGTATACGATATGGGCAAAGGTCTCTAAAAGAGACTGAGCCTTTCAAAAAACGCAGCCCCCCTTCTGTGTCATGACGTCAGCATAAACGAAAATGGCGGCGCCCATGGAACAGAGCAGACACCGGTCTATAGACCTTTGCAAAACCCGCCTGCTGCGCGCTGCCATCTTTGTCTGCTGGGCTGTGGAACGCCTTCTGAGCATGCGCTGTTGGTCTGCTGTGCGCTATATCGGATGCTGCGCATGCGTCCACAGCTCAGTGACTCAGCATTTTTCGCCCGCGCGCTACGTTCGAGACTGCCGCTGGAAATCTCTATACGTACCGTGAGCTTATGCGCACAAAATGAGAGGCGTTATCAAGCAGCTCCGGTGCAGCGTCAGACTTTGCTACTGCGCAACCGAAGCACACAGCTGGGCACGCGGCGGCGCCAGTGCGTCTGCCGCGGCTATGAAGTCACTCCTCTGGAATGCGAAGACAGGCGAGGCGCGCGCGGTGGCGGTGGAGCCTGCGGTGGCGGCGGCTCCGGCACGCCAGCTATGCACCGTGTGACGTCACTGCTCCTCGCGCTTGCGCAGACCGGCGAGGCGCGCGCGGTGGCGGCGGAGCCCGCGGCGACGGCGGCTCCGCCCCGCCAGCTGTGCACCGTGTGACGTCACTGCTCCTCGCGCTTCCGCAGAACGGAGCACGGCTCATTATGCGAGCCACGCGAAACTGCTCAACCTCGGCCAGTGTAGCTCACGCTACAAAACCGAATTTCGCGGTCGATTTAAAGGGCAACTCCGCTCAATTTCGAGATAGTGGCCGATTTTGCTTTGAGCACTCAAGAACAATCCCCGATCCTCTGTATCGCGAAAAATAAAATATTTCTCGTGCAATTTTACTCTAGCCATGATCGCAAACCGAAACGGTAGTCATGATCGCGAACCGAAACGGATTTTCGGCATCACTAAGCATGTACCCCCACGTGATATACAAAGGGTCACGTGATCTATCACGCGGACATGCGCTTCACAGTCATCGTCGCGTAGTCTGCAAAGTATGTGCAATCGCACGTCAATACGCATTGAACACACGCCGCGCTTGACAAGGCGATGGGCCTATTAGTAGGGTATCAATAGTCGAGCGCCGAGCCAGCCGAGCGCGTCGCTCACGTCTCTCACGGCGCTGGCGCCACCCGTGATCTCCCCCCCACCCCACCCCACCCCACCCCACCCCCCCCCCCCCCCCCCCCCCCCACCAAAGAAAAAAATTGAAAAAAAAAAAGAATTCTGTACATGCTTGACGTCATGGACGTACCGGGAGAAGGAATTTAGAGGAAGCGGAAATGCAGCCGGGCAGTGTTGTCTGGCCCGCACGCCTCATCCAAAACCAGCGGATTCGTGCTTGTCAAACTTTGACAGCGATTTTAATGAACTTCTAGGCGGAATGCTGTCGTAATATGTGCCATGCGGGCTTTGTAGATGATAACAAAGAGAACTGTATTGCTTTGCACTACTGGAAAAGAAGCGGAGTTGCCCTTTAATAGCCTCGTCCCACTAGAGCGACAAACACCGATTTTTGTCCGACGACACCACAAAGTTCCGTGTCGCCGATGCTGTCCCACTGCAACGACCATCACCCGCGACAATCGCCGACACGCGCCGACAAACAATCGACGACGGACGAGTTCTTGTCTGTCGTTGGACTTGAAGCGCAGCAAGCAGTCCCACTGAGGAACATGTCTCGGAGACAAACTTATCCTCCTCGTCCGCTTGTGCCTTCCGTTGCCTCCCTTCCCACCCTTCTACCCTTCCTCCCGGAACGAGAAGCCCTTGGCGGCCACTCCTCGTTCCCGGCCCCGCAGTTCCGGTCCCTCGATTACTCGTAGTGGTCGCGGGCGCGGCTTGCTTGCTGGCGCCGGACGGTCGTGTTGCGAAAGGGAATTTGCTGTGGCTGGTTTTGCCCGCGAAAACTTGGTGCGCGAGATGGTGCTTCAAGACGCCGAGGTCTACGCCCCTGCATCAGGATGGATACACTCATGTTCGAGAACTGACCAAAGTAAGACCGCTCACCACGAAGTAGGACACGACGTTCCGAGGCAAGCCATTCCGGCACACGAGAGACTTGTCATCGCATTCCGCGATAATCGGGATGCCGTACTGTCTTCCAAAAAACACCTGCCCTCGATCATTCGGATATGAGGTTATAAACATCCTCAAAGTAGGCATGAAATTCCGTGGCGCTCACCTAGACTTCCTCGAGCGACCCAAAAAAAGGAACGATTCGGGTATTCTAGTTCGGAAAAAGTTTGGCATCGATTGTCACGACTGTTTGCGGAAAGTCGCCAACGGCAAATGAAGACAAGTGGAAGCTTTAATCAAGAAATAAAGTAATCGTCTCCACTTTCACCGTGTCTGTCGGCGCGTTTTATGCCCAAAGAGCAAAACACGAAAACCGTGTCGCCAGACTCAGTTTGTCTGTGTATTTTGAAGTGTTTTGTTGACAACTCCAGTCCCACTAGGAAACAAGTTTTCTTCTCCCCGTGTTCTGCGTCGTGTCCGCCAAGTGGGACGGTGGACTCCGATAAACAGGCTGTCTGTCGGTGTCGTCTGTCGCTCGTTGTCGTGTGTCGCTGTCGTTTGTTGCTGTCTGTCGCTCTAGTGGGACGCGACTATAAAGAGCCTGGCGTCTCCTTGAATCACCCTGTAGTATCCCAGACTCGTCCCTAGTGAAGTTTAGGCCTAAGTGGCCTTTTCCCCACCACAAATTCTAATTAGTGACTGCATCGTCTCTCTGCAACAAGTACAATGTCATCTGCACACATCAGCTTTAGTAAAACTTGATTTAGTTTTTTCCCTCCCTTCATGTAAGTCAGATCAAATCCTAAATTGAATTTCTCTAATCTTTGTTTTCCATTTCACTAAGGTATATCATAAAGAGCAGGGAAATATTGCTGCTGGTTTTGTGGTTTCGGCTTCCCAAGTTATAACTACCCTGTTATCTGCATGGTATATCTGTTCTATAAACTTTATCAAATTTTCATTTAGTTCATATCCTTTCAGCTGATCCCAGAGTTTTGCCTGATTCAGATTGTTGTATGCTCCTTTGATGTCCAAAAATGCCAGCAATAACGGCCTTTGCGTTGTCGTTGCTATCTCTATGCACTGCGTGAATATGAATAAGTTATCCTCCAGTCTTCTATCCCTTTTGAAACCACTTTGGGGTTCTCCCAGTATCTACTTGCCCTCAGCCCATTCTTCTCTTTACATCATGCAGAGCTATTCCGTAGATTACTGATGTTACTGTGATTGGTCGGTACAATGTCTTTGTCTCCCTTCAAATGGTCACAATGGTGATGGGGCTAGCCACCTTATACCAAGTACTGAATTTTTTTTCTGTTTTTGGTTTTAATTGTAAAGTCTATGTATTTTTGGGCACCGATTTTGGCAAAAAAAGTGTGCGTTAGAATCGTGCAAACATTTGCATTAGCTCACGACAAAGGAGCAGTTATGGTTTTCGTTTTGCCAAGCTTGCATTGTGAGTCACTTTTCTAGCAACCTTATATTTTCTGCTGCAGGAGCAAAGGGATTTTCTGCTGCAGGAGTATTTGTCACTGCAAAAGGAGAGCGCTTATGTACTGAACATCAGAAACAATTAATTGCCTTGCATCATAATTTGCAATAATTGCATTAGCAGCCGATGTCTTGCTGGCTAGTCAAGGGCAGTTTTAATAATTTTCTTAAAAAATACTACTATCAGTTGTTTGTGTGACATTACATGTTGCCTTTTTACATGTTATCTAGACATGTGCAGCTTTGCACTCTGAAGTTTGTTAATGTCTATAACTTATCAGTTGTATTTTTTGCCTGCTTTCAAGTATAGTTAAAAAGTTTGCATAAAATACAACTGTTAAGTATCTGGAATATTGCAGCTGAGGTTTAAACTATTTGGAAATCTTTAGACTTGCCACTGAAATCTGTCTTGGTCCTGCACCACTTTAAGCCAGGGCATTGTGGGTTCCTCTGCCGGGATTCAAGCCCTTTAAATGGAGCTACACATTTTGGGTTCTAACACTGTCTCCTTGGGTGGCCGATAGTGAAGCATTACTGACAGAGTTCCTGCACACGGGACTGACAGGGATGCAAACTGGAAGCACACATTGTATGCGTAAAATATAATACATTTTATTTGTTTGGAAAGTCAGTGTGCTGAGAGCAGTGTGCAGCATCACTGCAGCAACTTCTAAAACAAAAACAATTTATCGGCTAAGCTGGAGGCCCTTCCAAAAACACTGAATGCTCAAAGGAGGGATTCGATACCACGCCCATTTGGAACACGACACCAACTTATCTTACAGTGCTAGTTTTACGCTTGGGTCACAGCATCATGACAACGCAATCTTGGGCCCCGACGGCCGGGTGTGGACGCCCACGTCATAGCACACAGTCAAAAATGGCAGACAGGCTCTCGTGACTGTAGTCCGGAACCATGAAGTTGAAGTTCATCACATCAATATGGGGCCTCAGGAATGGCTGAAACATTGCACATGTGGCACATGCCTTGCAGAGAAACCCACCTCGTGAGGTTTGGCCCCCCTGAAACAAAAGAAACACTGGATTCTTGCATCTTTTCGTGCGACGCAGCATGCTATCCTAACCAGCTCCGAATACAAAAGAAGATTCCACTAAGTAGAAACAAATACAGAACTCCCACTCTGCACTGCTGCAATTACAACAACTCAACTGTGGAACTGGAATGCTGTACAACAGTGTTTCCCAAACTCTGATACCCTGCAACCCACCAAAATATAGAATATTTTGTCAAAAACACACAATACAGCGCTAAATCAGTGATGAGTAAGACCTGATGGTAGTGCTAATACAGCGCCGACTTAGCATTATCTCGGAACTCAGATGCATGTGCGAACTGGATTTTAATGTCCCGGTTGTTTTAGAGAGGCTAGATTCAGTACTGCTTATTTGGACAAGGCCAAAACTCTTTTTAATGTTGTTCAAAGACCTCCAAAACACCGTGCAAGTTTATCCGCTTCTTGCGCACCTTGTGCGCAAGAAGCCCGCCAAATGCACCTATGAGCCTTTCTTTCCCCCCAACCTCAACCAATGACAGTGCGCGCTTGGCTGCGTCGTCATAGCATATTTCCTGCATATTCTCTATGCTGATTTTTGGCTGGCGTACCCCCCCTGGTGTCCCGATCGGGCATGGGCGAATGGAGGATTTCGGGTCCGAATCGAATCGAAGCGAATAGCGATTTTGGACGAATAATTTTGAATCGAATTGTTGGAATAGCACAAGCAACAAATACCACAAGATATGTTTAAACTATAGTTTTATATTTGCCCTTATTTGGTATTAGAAGTACTGCAATTGTTAATTTCAAGTGTACTGAGTTTGGGAGCACGAAATGGTCAAAATAGTCAGAATCTCGCACCACCTGGCCGGAAATCTAAGCCAGAGCATTCGGAAAGGTCTCATAATTCGATCTTGTCGAATAATTCGAAATTGCCGAATACTTAAATTTGATTTGAAGCGAATGCCGAATAGAACAGAATTCGATGGGATCTTCGTAATACCCGAATATTCGTTCATCCCTAGTCCCGATGCATCAAAGATGCATTTTAGAATAGTACTCGCTCGCGGTATGAAAACCTGTACCAGAGGAACAGGCGTGGCCGCCCGTGCACTCACCACGGAGAAAGGCCGTCGCTGGAGGACCAACTTGCCCGACGGCTCAAAGGCCTCCTCGCAGCTGCAACACGTCAGCACCCCTCCTCCAGCCTCGAGGACGGCGCTGTCCCTGCTCTGCAGGAACTCATACTTCTCCTGGTACAGAGAGAACACGCAATGCAAAGAAAGTCGAATTTGAGAATTTTTTGTGCCAAACCAACAAAGAGCACCTGGCACGCCCCAGCAAAGAACTGAGGATTAATTTTAACCCCCTGGGAACCTTTTGACATGCAACCAAAATCTCGATTAGACGGCCCCTTCTCTGCAATAAGCCTTTGTCAGATTGTGGGTACCTCGCCTGGGAAAACTGCTGTCTGGGCATCCGTGGGTCGGAGCTTTGCCTCAGAGCCACCGAGGCGGAGCAAACGCAAGGAAAACAGAGGGACTGAGACTACCACAAAGCAAGGCCTAAAGCAGCGATTCTCAACAGCTGATGTTTCAGGAACCCCTTCTGGATCAGTAGATCTGATGAGTGGTACACCGGTAGGGGCAGAGGGAGGATTGTTGGACGATTACAATGACAAGAGGGGAAATAAAGAAAGCTATACGCATGCAAACTAATACTGAGCCTTTGAAACGAAATACAATCAACCCTACTTCCTTGGCGCTTGTGGTTTGGGGACAGCCAGCATCAATAAAATAAAAGTATTATAGCTTGGCTCGACTGATGGTAAAGGGCTTCGGAGACCCTAAGAAGGCCCCCAGGAACTCTGAAGTGTATGCAGACCCCCATTTGAGAATCACTGGCCTAAAGAGTGAAAAGGCTGTTGGTCTATGGTCAGGGTCACACTGCAGGTGGCATGGTATTTGCACTGCAAACTCAACCTACGAAAGTGCTGCATGGAAGTAGTGTAATATAATTTTATTTTAGGTGCACAGCAGAAATGGAGTTTACCTGGATAAACTGTCTCAACGAGTAGCCATGTCTTTGTAAGAGACAGATGAATGCCTCCTGTCTCAACATGCGGCAGGTCACTATTTCGAAGTACTGAGAACATACGTACGATAAAGATGAAGTATGTGCTTCTAAATTTAAGGACTTCAATGGGACCACTGTAATATTACTATCTTTAGCTGCACAGTTATGTCGAGCATAATCAATGAGCTTGGTCAAGAACCGCAAGTACTAGTGCAAGTGCAACGTGGACTGTGCAATGGCATTCCACCGGTAAACGGTCATGCAAACTCACTTGTGCCTGTAGAAGTAGGAAGTAGATTGCCCGTGACATACACAGCCTCTTCTTAGCTCTTGTCATGGCCACATAGAGCACGTTGTACTCCTGGATGGTCTCTGGAAAGCAGTGCGAGCATTTGCTGTTACCTAGCAAGGCCTCTGAAATTGACAGTGCTTCGTCGTATCTTACAGAATGACTGCAATATAACATTTCTATTTTCTCTCGTGGTTGTTGCCACAACAGTTGAATGTTAGTAGCATGATAAACATGTTTTGTTTCCTTCAAGTGGCACTGCTCCTTCCCAATTTTTAAAGCAGAATGCATTATACGGCTGGCACCCAGCCATATCCGGTTAGGTGCCAGCAACGGAAGCCGACACGCCAACTGCCAGTCGAACGCCGCTGACGCAGCGCTCGTTTCCTCACTGGTTGGACACCAGTACCAGCCGAACCTGTTCCAAGAGAGCCTCCGTGTTACTCCCGGCAGGGGTTAAACATCACATGTTCAGACATACAGCGGCACTCTCCGCCGTGAAACGAGCGCACCTCTGGCTTCCCCAGAGAAAAAGCAACAGGAGAGAGCAACAAAAAAGCAGAGAGAAAAAAAAAAGTGGACTCCTTTGCCGCAATGTGTTGAGGTAGTTCCGGGTGTTTCATTCTCTTTTCTCGCAAGCTGGTGCATGGCTCTGCTTAGCTCTGCTCAGAGCTGCCACGTTCCAATTGTTCTGTTTTCTGCACGCTCCGTCTACCGCCTCTCACATTCCAACAGGCTCTGAGAAAGTGACACCTACAAGTAAGTAAGTAAGACATCCACGGAGTACTCAAGCGCTTACTTCGCATGACCCAGGGCCGCTTTATGCCATCCAGTCTCCAGATGTGAACACAGTTTCTCCACACTTAACATTCTGTGTTACCACTGCCTTTGCCACGCTAGTAGGGCAAAGGGGCAAATTCTTTTGTGTTTCTTTCTGCAGCTCCTATAAAATACGGTATTAACCCTTTGTTGACCAGTGTTGCCTCCAGGCAACAAACCACATAATCATTTTTTTTTTTGTTCAACAGTTTCTGTTTCATCACATTTTTTTTTTATCTAGTGGTCTCGCAATAGTTTTGAAGATCAAAACTACAGCGCCATATGATGAAAAGGTACGCAAATAGTTGGCAGGGAAAAAGAAGTTTGGCACGCAAATGTGCGGCGAGCGAGAACAGAATTTCCCCAAATTTTCGGGCGAAAAATATTAATAACAGTTTTTCTCTTGTCATCAATATTTTGCAACAGGTGAACATTTATAGTATGCACTATCGTATGTGCAGATATTATATTATTGAGATTTCATAGTGACCCACAGATGTTACACAAGGTAACCACTTTTGCTTATGTTGCCCACAGGCAACAAAGCTGTGACTTGCAAGTTTACCTTATGAAATTCTTTTTTATTACAGCTCTGTCCTTTCATCTGAACTTGTTGAACATTAATATTTTAAAAATAAATGTTTTAAAGGGGAATATGGCCTCAGAATTGAAATCTTTTAGAAAAAAAAAAATTTTGTTTTTTAAAAATGATATGTTTTTGTTTACTAACTTCCATAGAATGGTTTCAGAAGCTTTCATTTATAAACATGCAGAATTTATCTTACAATAAATTATTTTCGACATGTGCGCAGCCTTCCAAGTCGGCAAGGAGCAAGTTTTTCGTGCTTCTTATTTAACGCTGCTTCATACTTGTTTAACATAGCCAGAACATCTCACCCTCATTGAAAGTGCCATTTACTCTAGATTTAGCCCATAGAAGCTTTCCAAGTTTAAAAGTATCAATGGCCAGGAGAATGCTATACATCCAAACAAAAAAATCCTGAAAATTTGGTATGAGCAATCTTATTGGTTGAGACCTGAAACAGGGTTTACGATACGTCCTGCCCAGTGACGTAATATAGTGCCATCTTCAGTAATACCCTTTCACGGTATCTTCCACTTCAAATCAGATTCTTGCTTTGTTGCAAAGGAATGCCTGCTACAAAAGTTAGCTTGCCTACAAGCAACACTAACCGGTAGCTATAGCCAGGGGAACAACAAAGTCTCAAAGAGGAAGGTGCTAACAATGTTCCAGGTGAATTTTGACAACCTCGGACTCATAGAAAAGAAAGATACCTGAAGTTGAAACTTCAAATGCATTTTTCTCAGTTTCACCTTTTGGCAGGAAATGTGGTATGAGGAAATGTATCATTTGACATTTTGAAAATGTTAAGATTTCATTCAGTGTGTCCTGGACTGAAATTTAACGAGAAACAAGTTAAGGTACTCATAATTTGAAAGAACTAAATTCTTCATGACAAAAACTGAAAATTTTAAAACGCAGAAATTTGTTTAAAATCTTTTGCTCTTTTTGGGTGTTGTAGTTTTTCTCTAGAATTGCATTTTCTGCAATACTTACCTCAACTTGCACTATGAGTATTCTACTTCACATTAAACAACACATTTTGTGGATTGCAATTATTATTTTGTTTAAACACATTTCCTAATAAAATAACTTTTTTCTGGAGTATAGTATGTTGTAGAATTGGCCTAGAAGACTGAAACTTTAGATGTCCTCGATCCTAATAAGGTTCAATTCACCCTGAAAGTTTGAATCAATTTGAGGGAATGGTTCAAAAGTCTACCTTTCCAAGTTATGAAAAGAAAAAAAAAAAGTTTTTAAACAGTCTGGTTGGGGCACGTGCGTCAAAAAAAAATAATTTTACGCAAAAAAAAGATTTTTTTAGAGCGATAGTGATGGTGTGAGATACGATTTAGCAAGTAGTCACCTCCTTTCCACTTGTTTTCTCTCTCGGCATTTCGGGCGCGTGGTGGAGAGATGGATCGGCTTCGCCTTCACGTTGAGGTGGAAAGAGGGAATTACCATCTCGTTGAGCGAATGACCATTCCGCGACGTCATGGACTTTGCGCGCAGAATTTCAAATAAATCTCTCGCTGTCAATATTGCGCCAAAAAAAGTTTTTTTTTGCATAAAATTTATTTTTCGATTTGAGTGTCCCAATTAGATTGCTTAAAGAAGTTTTTTTCTTTTCAGGGGCCCTTTAAACAATTTTTTTATATCTCGTCAATAAAGGGTTAACAGAGACTTACAACATTTTAAACTGACATGCTTGTATGCATGGTCTTTTACTACAGCTGTAGTTCCTTGTTGCCACTCTGTTGAGCTTCTCTAGTGCTTTACTAAACATGCTCGAAAAAGGAATAGAGTGCTTTAACAGATATTCTGCCAAAGAGGCATAATATGTATGAATTGCAGACACACACTTGAAGAGGTTGTAGCTGCTGCAAAGAAATATACTCCCATGGCCAAAAGATCAGGGAAATTAACAGACACTAGATGGGTATGCACGCAATGCACATCAGCATTAATTGGGTTAATCAGGTGGTGACTTGCACTGCCTAGTAATGCCTCAGGCAAATGGTATGGCAAAGGCCACCTATGTCGATCTACGCAGCACCCTCGGGCTTCATTGCACATCACCGTGCCAATCTCATTGGTTATTTTCTCTGGCTTAGCCATCATTTTTCAAGATTTCCTCGACACCTCACAGCTCTAGGATTTGCAGGTTGATACACACCCTGCTCATGAACGCTCGACACAGGAAGAGCTTGGCTGTCTAAGATTGTTTGAGGACTTCTTTCCTGTCGTCACTTACCCGCATTCAGGGACACCTTGTGGTTTCCCAGTGAGCAATTCCCAACAAAGAAGTCGTCTGCCAGCATCACCGTGTCGAACTCAAGACCCTTGGCCTTGTGGGCTGTGGTGAAGACAATGTCTGGCAAAGGGAAAAAAAACAAAAAAAAAACAGGCTTGAGATTTTTTTTTTTTTCTTTCGAGAGTTCTTTTTTAAGACAGTAGGAGATGACGATTGTCCCACGTTAGCTTCAGGTCACATTCAGTGACTGGACTACTACATAAAGGTGGGAACAGAACCAAACAGTTACTGCAAAATCCTTTATTTTTGCGGCTCCGACTTTTTACGAATTGGGAAAAAAAAGGATAAATTTGGTAACAATTACATTTCATAAATTCTAAAGGTTGGAATTTGCATCTCTGAAATTTGCATCTCTGGACAACATAGCAGCCAGCGCTGCTATGTTTTCCCAAGGGAGGATAAAAAGCCAGGAGGCGACATCCCTCTCAACTCCGATTTTCGGTATGAAGGGCCGTAGTGCATTCGCAATTGCATTAAAAACATGTTTTATTTATTTATTTATTACATTTATGAATGTCATTATTAAATATTATAAAAATGTCACATACAAAGCTTCTAAATTTAATCATTTTTGACATCACAAATAAAAAGAAGAGAGGAGGTGAGAAGAGAGAGAGAAAAATGTCAAAAATAAAAAGGAGCCCACAGGCAAACATTTGTTTTCCCGTGTTATGGTATTATTTTTGTGTGTCTATGACTACAACTTGCATTGTTTTAGACAACGACAAAAAAATACAACCTTTGGGGTGTCAGTGGCAGTGCAATGATTTTCAGACTCTGGCTAATTAACTGCGGGGATCAATCTGTGTCGCCTCTAAAATGATGAACAGAAAACCTTATTTTTTTTTTAGCGTGGTAGTTTTTATTTTAAAAAATGAAACAAACCAAAGGTCAAGGTGCCTCTCAACTCTCACGTCGTCTTTCAAGTGACATACTATGAAGGAACACCTGATTTCCCGTTGGCTTCTCTCTTCAGACCACAGCCGCCTTCTCAGTCATTGTCGACTTTTCTAGGAATAGGACCGTGAAAGGTCATAAAGAGGGATCGACGCAAGACGGTTCGCCACAAGGCTGATGGCGTGTAGCAGCGAAGGGGGACAGGTTTCGTCGACTTTCAAATGTCCCCCAGAGAAGTGTTACCCTAGTTCCCGTAAACACCACACGCAGCTGCAGATCAGCAAATAATTTGTTTTTTTCCTTTGTGATTACACAGCGGAATAGCAGTTTTTCGGGGCAGGGTGACAGATTTTTTTCACTTGTGCCTAGATAAACGATACAAATAATACAAAAACTGCAAATTCTTTCAACATTAAAATTGTTGCACTACCCCTTTAAGTTTGCAAATTTTCAATTAGGGGCTTGCAACCATTAAAAGGATGCTAAAGTGAATTTTGAGATTATCTTTTTACAGTGAAAATTCAATCTAATCACTGAGTAGAAAACTAAAAATTACAATTGTCTATAGACCTTTCCAGCAACAGTCTCGAACGAAGCGATTTACAGCGCGCGTCCCTGGTTTTGAGAGGGTAGGTCAGTGTTGCCCGACTGCGCTGAGCTGTGGAGTTTCTCGTCAGTGGGCTGTGGCAGCCTGCGTAGGCGCACTTCCGGATGCTGGTGGAGGCTAAATTGCCGTGTTCTATTTTTCTTTTGTGTTCTGGCGAATAGAATTTCTCGGCGTTTTTTTAAGAATGCATTGTACTATTTTTGGGAACAAAAACAAAGCAATGAAAGCTGTTTCGGTGAGTCCGTGAGCGACAGAACAAATGCAACTGGAATGTTCGTTCTATTTTATGTTGATCTCTTTACGGCACCATACACTTAGCCGTGTCAATCTATAAAGGTATTAACCGTCGAAAATATTTGACCACACACGATATTCCAACTGCATGCATATTCCCCACCCACAACATAAAAATCAACGAGTCTCATCAATCGAACAACATATATTGTACGTACCCCACGGTGCCGCGTTATCCGAACAGGACTTGAGAAAGGTCTCAAATAACACAGCATATCCAATAAAGTGTCGACGATAGTAACTTCACGACGATCGGACGGAATCCAGCGTGTTTTGGGCACATGTAGAAAGGAGCTGCTTTTTGCACAGCTTCAAAGCAAATGAACGAATGTTTCTCTTCCGTCCCCACACCCCGGACCCGACCCTATCAGCTATTTTTCGCGAAGACCCGGAACACAAGCCGGGAAGGCTTTTTGGAGACTATCTCAACGAAAATAATCCTCGAAAAACGTCGAACTGCCCGCGTCGCAGGCTGCTTGACGTTCGCTCTCTTCGTTCGTTTCTTACGAAGGCCGAGCAGGCTACGAGCCCTGGTAGTCCCTGGTTCTCACAGTGGAAGACAACACATAAAGGGTAAGCATCCTAAGCAGGCAAATAAAGTAAAAATTTCCAAGAAAAGCCGGCGAACTCCGAATGCACAATGCAGGTGGGGAGTCACGCTGACCGGGTTTCCACAGCTCAGGCAGGTGCCAGAAACTTCTGGCTGATAGGGGTTGCTCGATGCGCAAAATGGCGGCGGCCAGAGAGCTTTTTCTGGAAAGCTCTATAGCCCATTTTCTTATAAGAACATGATCAAATGTTGCAACTTTCCCCTTTTTCTAGGGTGTATCTCAGAAAGGGGGCATGTTGCAATGCTTGGTTGCATTTTTAATGAGCAAAAAGGCAAAGCACAATTGAAGTTTAGGGTCTACTAGGATGCTTAGAATGTATAACTTGAGTTTGCATCATAAAAAAAAAAAAGATACCTCAAAATTGATTTTAACACCTTTCGAAGGAGTTTAGAGCACCGTATTTGCATGAATATAATGCAAGTTTTTTTTCGTAATTACGTACTCCAATAGACCTTTCCAGCGGCAGTTTCGAACGAAGCGATTTACAGCGCGCGTCCCTGGTTTTGAGAATGTACGTCAGTGTTGCCCGACTGCGCTGAGCTGTGGAGTTTCTCGTCAGTGGGAAGTGGCAGGATGCGTAGGCGCAATTCCGGACGCTGGTGGCGGCTGAATTGCCGCGTTTTCTTTTTTATTTTGTGTTCTGTGGCGAACATAATTTATAGAGGTCTTTAAGAAAGCAGTGCTTTATTTTTGGGAACAAAAACGAAGAAATGAAAGCTGTTTTGCTGAGTCCGTGCGCGACAAAACAAATGCAACTGGAATGTTTGTTTCATTTTATGTTCATCGTTTTACGGCACCGTACACTCAGCCGTGTCAATCTATATAGGTCAAAATATTTTATCACACAGGATATCCGAACTGCATGGATATTCCCCACCTACAACATAAAATTCAATGAGTCTCATCAATCGAACAACATATATTGTACTTACCCCACGGTGCCGCGTTATCCGAACAGGATTTGAGAATGGTCTCAAATAACACAGCATATCCAATATACAGTGACGATAGTCACTTCACGACAATCGGACTGAATCCGGCGTGTTTTGGGGAACATGTAGAAGAGAGCAGCTTTTTTGCACAGCTTCAAAGCAAATGAATGAATGTTTCTCTTCCGTCCCCACACCCCGGACCCGACCCTATCAGCTATTTTTCGCGAAGACCCGGAACACAAGCCGGGAAGGCTTTTTGGAGATTATCTCAACGGAAATAATCCTCGAAAAACGTCGAACTGCCCGCGTCGCAGGCTGCTTGACGTTCGCTCTCTTCGTTCGTCTCTTACGAAGGCCGAGCAGGCTACGAGCCCTGGTAGTCCCTGGTTCTCACAGTGGAAGACAACACACAAAGGGTAAGCATCCTAAACAGGCGAATAAAGTAAAAACCTCCAAGAAAAGCCGGTGAACTGCGAATGCAAAATGCAGGTGGGGAGTCACGCTAACCGGGTTTCCACAGCTCAGGCGGGTGCCAGAAATTGCTGGCTGATAGGGGTCGCTCGGTTCGCAAAATGGCGGCGGCCAGAGCGCTCTTTTTGCAAAGGTCTATAGACAACTAGCGTTAAATTCGGAATCGAGTTCAGCCACCGGGCGCGCGAGTCTGGAGAAAGCCACCTTTCCGGCTCAGTGCAGGAAATCAGATGGGAAAAGAAGTGGGGGTGTGGGAGGGAATTTATTAGCTATTGGGGCACGTGAAGGGGCAAATAGAGAACATAAAAAAGCATTTTTATTGCTTTTGTGTTTGTACAACGCACGCCGCAAGACACGCTCCAAAAATGAAGCGTGCCACGGAAGAATGCGGGCACTGTCCAAGTCAAGCCAGGCCAAGTCAAGTCAACACGAGCCAAGCCAAGACCACCCATCGTGTTTATGCAATCGTGCAACAGGAGGTGTTTGTTTATGCGGAGGGACCAGAACAAAAATGAGTGTGGTCGTGTATCAGGTTCAGCCATCTTTGTTTTCTGCCTGCGCATTTCTTAGTTTCTGCTCCAGAGTGGTCTGGTGTTGTGCGTTGGTGATTCTGCTTTGTGCCTTGCTTTGGTTGTGGGCTGCCAAAGAGCTCACGCCAAAGAAAAAGGAACTACCAGACAAGCCGCGCGCGCCGCAGTGCTTCTGCTTATCTGCGTAGTCACCAAGTAGATTGTAAAGGGAAGGACCTAAGCAGTGAGGATGAGTGCAGTCAAAACATAAACTGATATTTCTTCGATTTCCATTGCCTTCTCACTTCTGCCATGCCCCCAAGTGCGGGAAATGTATGCAGCCTCGGCTCACGTTATAATAGTAATATATATATATTTTTTTTTTTTTTTTGCTTTTTGAGGGCATTAAAACTTGCCCTTGCGTTATAGTCGTGATCACGTTATATTCGTGCAAGTACGGTATATTTGTATACCATCAAATCGGGTCGAGCTCAGCTGCCGCAAAAACATTATCATCTTTGCTCTAAGCAAACTCTGCAATCCTTATGAACAACGCCTACATATCTACAAACACAGAGCCGATGCCTGCCTTTGCAGAAGTGACCTCGCAAAGCACGAGCCAGAGAATACCTTCTCACGCAAAGATGCCACCTCTGCCCAGCAATACTCAGCCTCACATTTTGCATGTACAGAATCAGCACATGTCGTACAAATTTTAAGAACTCATCTTCTCAAATTACTTTCGAACTGCCAGTGTCGCTTCTATGAAATCTAACCTTAACTTACCCGATCTTTCATTGCGTCGTAAACTATCTCGTCTTTGTCTCTTTCACAAGTTTTATCATTTCAATTCTCTACTTAGTGACTCTCTCTTTCTGCCATCATCGTACATTTCTTCCCGCAGCGACCATCAGTTCAAGGTTGGCGTCCCAAGCAGCCGCACCAATTTGCACTTCCACTCGTTCATTCCCAAAACCTGCACAGACTGGAACCACCTCCCCGCCTCCATCACTTCAATCACTGACACAGACCGTTTCAAAAGTGCCGTTTGCAACCATTTTTTGTAATCCCCCTGCTGTGTTTATGTTCATGTTGTATTTTTTTTTTTTTTTTTGCTTCACCACTTTTTTTTGTAATGCTTCGGCCTTGAGAGTAAATAAATGAAATGAAATGAAAAGGCAGAACAGATGCCATGCCACAATGAAGCTGGAGCTTCAGATATGGTAAAACGGGACAACAAACAATCCCACAGCAGAGAGCAACTCGAAAAACTGGACACAGCATTGCCAGAAAGTCGCAAAGGCATCGCAATAACGTAATCTCACGAAGGATGAAATGGATCATCTGGTTCCCCGCAACCAGCCTTTGTTTCACGGCCCCCTCAAACCCCTCCCTCTCCCTTCTCTCCCACCACACAAAAAACGTCACCTGGCTGACAGACGAAGTGTAGCCTGCAGTTAAAGGTAGTAACCGGTAACATTCGTCCGAGACATAGCCTGAGCGGTCTCTGGGTTGGGCTTACTCGCCAGCTTGTCGTTGCCGCTGCACTTCATCTCCAGGGTCCGCACGTACTGGGGAACCGCGTGCACGTGCTCCTCCACAAAGAGGATCCTCGCAAGCAGCTCCACGTCCTCTGCATTGCGCGCGTAGCTCCGCAGTCGGGCAAAGCTGTCAAACCGCCTTACAAAGGCATCCTTGATGGAGGAAACATCTGGGAGGGAATGGTTTGAAATCACCTATGAAACCTGGGGATTCAAGAGGCCCCCAACGCCCTCAGTATCGACAGAGTGGTGCAACTACCATTTCTCACTTTTGTGTTTTATGTTTTGATTAATTTAAACACTGAGTTCCAGATTTATTATCTTTAACTGAAGTCTGGAGAAAAATTGTCTTTTTCCCCCGCGATTTGTGGCTAAAAAGATTTGTAGATTAGTCTTATGATGTGAAATATAAAAAAGGCTGCATTTCCTGCTTATGAAATTTTGCCACTAAAAACCCAAGATCTTTTGACTCCAAACTGTTATGGGAATAGTTGTAAGCTCCTTCGTCATATCTTCTATATTACCAAACAAAACCTTTATTATGCCATCATACGCTAGAATCCCAATTATGCGTCCCCAGTTTATGCGACGTCTCATATTTTATGATGGTTTAGTGCAGCCCCAGCGAACTCCCCGTAGAAACAATGTATTAGGGGTTGGGACTATACAAGACACATAATCACATGCCCCCGACATCATGCAACGACCCGGGCACGTCGCCAAAAACCAAGTTGACATAATGGGAACATAAAACTGCATCAGTGGACGTATTCTTCTCCTTCCCCGATTGGCTGTCCGTTCTTCGTTAAAGCACCTTCACCAATGTGCCTTTGGTTGCCCTTTTGCCTCGCAGCTTCCTTCTAAACGCACCTTCCACCTTTCTTCGCTTTCTGGTGACATGTCCCGCTTTGCCATTCTTTATTTCTCTCCTTTTCGTTTTGTTTTTTGTTTTAGAGTGCAGCTTTTAGGCGTTTGTTTCCGGCTTGAGCAACGTCGCCATCGGCATAACCGCGTGCGTTGCATTATGCGTATAATTTTTTTTATTTATTTATTTTATTTTAAGAATACTGTCAGCCTTCACTAGAAGGCTATTACAGGAGAGGTAACAACAATATATATACAGTCATATAAAAAATTTGAACTCTATACATATGTATGTAATAGTAGAAAACTGTTATACAATTTTTAATTGAAGACAATGTGAACCATATCGCCACACTTTGTAAAAAGAAGAGAAATAGAAAAAAAGGAAAAACGCCCTTTTTATTTATTGCTGGGTAAATATCTTTTCTAAAGAAGACTCGAATTGGGACATATTTGCAGAATTAATGACATAATCTGGGAGTTGGTTCCAGTCTTCAATTGTTTGCACAAAGAATGAATATTTAAAAATGTCTATCCTACTATTATACGGTTGGATTGTTTTATTGTGATTTAATCTGCGTGATCGTCTATGTGTCTCTTTTAAATATAGTTCAGGTTCAATGTTTAAGTGATTGTTATACAACGCAAATAAGAACTTTAGCCGCACTATTCTCCGTCTAGTTTCTAATGATTGAAGTCCACACTGGCTAAGCATTTCAGTCACAGAGTCTGTTCGTTTTTATTTATTAAGAATGAAACGTGCAGCCTGCCTTTGAATTTTTTCTGGTCTATTGATGCCTACTTTTTTGTTTGGACTCCATACAATGCTGGCGTACTCTAAAATAGGACGGATCATTGTCTTATAAGCTGTGATTTTGGCATTACTAGTTGCATGTTTTAACTTTCGTTTAAGGAAGCACAAACTTCGATAGGCAGAGGAGTAGACATTATCTATATGGGTGCGCCATTGCAAATCGTGTGAGATCACCACACCAAGGTACTTAACCCCTTGCCTACTCATTTTTTTTCTTTAAAGATCATACAGAAAGCTTTATTTAAATCAAGCAATTTGCGTCAAAATAAAGAAAAACGTTTCCTTGGCTTTCAGGCGTAGTCTCGTGCTCTATACCAGGACTTCTGGTCGTCTCCTCTTCTTCAATAGTTCTTCACAGTATGATAGAAATCGAGAGATTAGCAGAAACCTCACATAGGACATCGTTTTGCCGAAAATTGGGGTCTCCACTATGGACCTCTTGGACCAGTTCATTTTGGCTGTGTTTTTTCACTTGTGTCATAATGATGCGCGAGGCAAAGTATGCCTTTATCTCATCCGGAGTGGTGTCAAACCATTGCTCGTCATAGCATTTCTTGGGACGATCCTCGTCGCCCATCTCTTGTTCGGCGTAGCGATTTGTCTCAGCAGAGACAGACGCCCAAAAATCATGACTTGCAAACACAGAAAAGGTCGACAAGGCGCTTGTCTTCTCACCAAGACTGCGTTGAACCCTTGCTGACACACCTGGGGTTTCTACAAAGGTGAACTGAGCAGGCTGATTGTCCCTCTTCTCCCAGTTCCACTGACGTGGAGACGCCGAAGTCGATGAAATGCTTCCAGGATTCGCATCGTTTTCAACACTTTTCTCACTGTCCGTTGAACTCTCATCGGATTGCGAGTAATCGGAAAGGCAGCAGGATTCGTCGTCAGAAATACTGGCGCATTCATCACTTTCAAAAAGAACTCTTTGTATATCTTCGTCTGCCAAAGCAGACCTCCGCGCCGAAGACATGTTTTTGGCGCGCTTGCTTACAATAGCGCTCTTATTTTTTGTCAATGGAGCGCCCTCTCTCTGTCAAAAGGCAAAGCAAACAAGAAAAGAACCCAAGGTAAACAGGAGCAACAGGGGTAGTGCTGCCATCTGCCGCAGAGCTCACAAAACAAGCTCTGAAACCGAAACACGAGTCACACTCGTGGTCGGGTTTTATGGTCCGTAAATGGCGGCACGAGTGACACTCGTTATTAGTAGGCAAGGGGTTAAAACTGTTTACAACACTCAAATTAACATTGCCTATATTATAACAAAATTTCAAAACGCTTTTTTTGTTCGTTATATGGATATATGTCGACTTATGAAAATTTATTTGCATTTGCCAGTTTTCACACCATTGCCTTAGATTTTCCAGGTTCCTATTAAGAGCTAATTGATCATTAGTATTGTTTATCACAGAGTAAAGAAGGCAATCATCTGCAAAAAGTTTTAGTTTTACTGGTTCTGCAATGTGCGTAGCTATATCATTTATATATATCAAAAACAATTATGGACCTAAGACTGAGCCCTGCGGGACTCCTGAGGTTACAGATAGACGTGGAGATGTTTCCATTTATCTCAACTTTTTTATTTATCCATTTGATTTTTCCATTTATCTCAACTTTTTGCAAGCGGGCGTAACTGCATGTTGCATTATGGGAACATTTCCCCACTAAATTTAGCAGAAAAATTTTTGCTACATTTTTTTGCTAAATTAAGTGGGGAATGTTTCCCGCTAAACTTGGCGGGAAAATTTTTCCACTAACATTAGCGGGGAAATTTATTTTGTTAAATATAGCGGGAAAATTTCCCGCTAAATTTAGCAGTAACCTTTCACCACTAAATTTAGCTGAAAAAATTCCCCTCTAAATTTAGCGGAAAAATTTCCCCGCTAGATTTGGCGGAACAATTTCCTGCCAAAATTTGCAAAACTTTTCCGCTAATGGGGAGGAGAGGAGCGGAGGGTAAGGGGAGGGGGGAAGCGACATACCCTCCCCTACCCTCCTCCTCCTCAAGAGCTCCGCTCCCTTTTGGCGTTGCAGAGAATTGTAAATGTTTTTCTCTTTGTTTTAGAAGTTCTTGATGTGCTTTTGGAGGACAAAAGAGGCAACAACTATTGGCTTATTCTCTACTTACAATTTCCCCAAGCTCCACAGTTCACGCGCTCTTTAATGACAATGTGTCGTACACACATGGATGCAAATGCAAAGTGGTATGTCTCAGAATGTGCGAGTAAATGTTGCAAATGAACGCCGACGATGACAGAGACAAAAGGTACAATCATGATCGTCGCAGTGCTGGCAGTGTTTAGAACATCAGAACTCCACACTTACTATTACTCAAATAATTGTGCGTGAAGTGTAACTGGAGCCCTGTAGGTATATACCGTAATATCCCGAGTCATCGCCCATCCCCGAGCCATCGCCCACCCCATTTTTTGGGCCAATATCGATTTCCGAAAAAACACCGAGTCATCGCCCACCCCTTCGAATACTCCAGCGCGGACTCTGCGATCCGCGAACACTCATCCTACCCGAATGACGCGGCCGCGGACCTTACAGTTCGAGGACGTCCGTGACAAAGTAAAACAAAGGAGGGAAAGACACTTCTTTTTGTTTACCTCCGTGAGCGACCCCAAAGTGGTCGTGTATCCGTGCGAAAAGAAAACGATGGAGATAACAAAATAAGAGTTTGTTAATGTAAGCCCGGAGTGTTAGGTCAAAGTCTGTCTCCGCCGAAGTAAGGTCACCGCGAACCTGCTCCTTCTTCCCGCCCGTCGCGACCGCGGTTGTGCAATATTTTAGGCAAAGCCAACACGTAAATAAAGCTTTGCTGGAACGCCCTACACAGACGTTTGCAGAGCGTCCCAACCGTGCATTGATAGCCCGCCGTGCACGGACGCACGTATGTACGCACCAAACAAGAAAGTTGCGCAAGAGCTTGCAATTGACAAGGCGCCCGACTTGGCCCGACGCCAAAGTATTTGCCAACGCGACCGCCGGCTTTCCCGCTTTCCCAGCATTGCTCTTGGTCGCTTCTTTGGTCCGCTCGCTCGTTGCGCCTGGTCGGTTTTTCTATTTTCTTGTAGACTTTTCTTTCTTTTTTTTTTTACTAACTAGGAGAACATAGTGGTGACATTCTTTCACGGAACAAACGTTCGCGCTATATGCAGATCGGCGGTGTTTCTAGCGCGTATGCAAGCAACGGACTTCGCTATAGTAAAATATTCTTTCGTGAGCATTTTTTTCTATAAAACAATGAAACTAAATCGAGTTTTGAGTTTGATGTATCTCTTGTGCATCAGCGCTAGATACGCAGAGAAAAATATGCGGTTTTTTCCGCTTTTTTTCAAGTGTTTGTGCTCACCCACCGAGACATGGCCCACCCCACTTTTTTAATGAATTTCAGGTGGTAGGGAGGTGGGCGATGACTCGGCATATTACGGTAGGACTGATTTACATTCACCGGACAAGAAAAAGTATTAACTAGGGTATACTGGGTCTGGGGCACGGACCTTCGGGCTTGTGACACAGCTTGTAGATGTCCAGTATCTGCTGGAAACCATAGCCCGCAATGCCCTGTCAATAGACCACAGTAGTACACGGGTTATCTCACTGCAGCAGTTGTCAATGGTCCGCAGTGATCCAATTCTGAGCCATGCTCTTCAAATTTTCTCTCTTTGATGAAAGGCTGAAGGAAGCAAACGAACAAGGGTACTGGGTGGTACTCGGCAAACACAACCACCCTGGGAAGACATAGCGGAAAAACAAGGGAAATTCACTAAGCGTATGTCATTAAAAAGCAAGGGGTGCCAATAAGTGTATCAGTGAGCTGTCTGTGGCACTGTTAGATAAGGAAGTGTTATTTTTAGAGAGAGAGTGGGGTGGCTGGAAGTGACATGTTTTTATTGAAGTAAATTAAGTCACTGTGCTTCTAATAAACCTTCAGTTGCGAGTGCGCTCTGTGTTGTCGTTACCTCCTCCACTTTGTCCCTGTCCTTCAGCGCTTCTATCCAGTCATGAACCAAAAAGCCCAACTTAAAGTTTTGTTGGAACAGGGGTACACTTACGTTCCTGTGCAAAACTCACTGCTGCCCCCTCACTTGCTTTCGTGCACGTACCACTGCAGTTTCCTACACCGTGGGTTTTGAAACTGGCTTCCTCAGAGTACCGTCAAGGATACCCCTAGCTCCACACTTTCCTCGACCGTCCCTTCTCCTAGGTAAGGTGGTTTTCTGATTTAGGCACTACCTTAGCAGACCCAAGCCACTCACTGATGCATAACTATGTGCCAAACACTTCCTAGTGTTCGCTAGAAGCATTCTTTTGGGTGGAGCATTCTTTTGGGTTGAGCACAACTTAAGCGTGCTGAGACATGCACTAATCTGCAACTATGAGTTAAATGCACCCCCTCCTTAATTCCCTAGTGCGTGGGACTTATTTACTAAAGCTTGTAAGCCTCTGAACTCAGAAAATCAATGTATCTTCGCACTCGGAGTAGAGTTCCAAGATCAAAACGTTGGAGCCTCCCTACCCTTTCGTAATGCTTTCACCGCTTTAATGTGCCATACACGAATGCCAAGAGCCAAAGCTATACCTTAAAGCTTCTGGCTTCACTCTTAAGGTAGACTCAAAAAGACCAGGGTGCAGCCAGCAATGAACCATCATCAGTCGTCAAATGGCGGTCACACTTCGAAGCATGTGCAAGAACGACGCAGGGAAGGGCGGGAAGACCCACCCCAATGAAGGCACCGTTGACATGAGACAGTCCCATCCTCCTGTATTGCTCGTTGCAGACAATCTCCACGGCCTGATTAAAGAGGGTCAAGTTGGACCTGGCGATGACCGCCACCTGACCCGAAATGCTGCCGTCCACCTTCCCTGGTGGAAAGGAGGAAATGGCGTCAACGATCCGCACCCTCGCAAACATAATGCCAAGGCGGCGTGTACCGCTACTGACACAGGGAATGCCTCACCTGGTTCTGCACTGCCCACTATGGTCTTGTTGCTGATGCCTTTGAGGGTTTCCAAGGCACATGAAGCTATGTATCCAATCTCTGGGCCAAATCTGAAAGACTGGTGGCAGTTGGAACGAGTAAAATGTACAGCTAATGACAGTATTTTTTTCTTCTCTAACACTCTTAAAACAAAAAAAAAAACAAAAACAAATCTCCACGAAGTATTCTGAAAAAAGGAAAAAAAAAAAGCTGCCATAACTACTACACGAATTTTGATAGAATCCCTCCGCTGCAATTAAGTTAACGAGATCACTGAAAAGGTCTGAGTGAGCCACATCAAATTTTGCCTCAATAAGAGCAAAACTTTTCTCAAATGTTTGCAAGCCATTGCCTGGCAATGTACAGTTTTAAAAACAATGATTGAATAGTAAATGATGAAACAGCTCCGTGAAATTCAGCCTCAATATGGCTTTAAATTTCCAAATATGTTCACAAGCCCTTGCATGGCAATGTTCGTTGTTGGACAGTGATCTGACGGCAAACGCTAAAATAAAGTTCACCTTGAGTACTGCAGCAGAACTCTGGATGTGAACATGCCTGTCTGTACCTTAGTGAGGTAGAATGTATGGGTCCCCGGCACAGAGGACAGTGCGTCGATGGCTCTCCGGAAGGCGTAAATCTGCTGGTTGGGGTCTCCTACCAAGATCTTTGGACAGCTCTGGGCCAGGATGAAATCCAGCATGGCTGAAATACACACCTCCTTGTCAGTTATCTAGAAAATGCCAATATTTGCATGTAAATCGTGAACCCAAAGATTTATTCATTAGTATTATTTCATGTAGAGAGCCAGCAATTAGCTCCAAAGCTAGGATGACATGCAAAAAACAAGAACACGCAGAAAAAGTAAAAGCAATGCAAGACACATATGGTAATTCCTCAACGAACAAGTGCAGAACTTCACCACCAGAAAAAGTAACATGTCCGTTAAGTTGACAATGAAGTCATGAAGTAAGTTCCAATTGCCCATAGTATACTGGGTGATTTTTTTTTTATTTCAAACAGATTTATCACAAAAAAACTTCGTAAAAGATGCACTAATACGGTAGGTGAGTTATACGGCCAGGGGGACATTATGTGGGTGGCTAATCTTTGCGATCAGTCGTCTAATTAATTAAAATTCGTTAATTAACTTTTTAATTAGTAAAAATAGACATATAGTTCCAATTAGAAACTTGGAGAGCGTCATTGAAAACCACTAAATTAACTCTTTTGAGAACAACTTGAAGCTCGCGGAAAACTCAGGGGGGCAACAAAGTTACTACTCGTGAAGCAGGCACAAAGGTAGCAGCGGCCGAACGCGATAATGACCTAATCATCCGCGTTCCGCTGCTGCTAGCTTTGCGCCTGCTTCACGAGTTGGAACTTCGGCGCACTCCCGAGTTTCCACCCAAGCTTCAAGTCATTTTAAAAAGAGTTGATTTAGTGGTTTTCAATGACACTCTAAGTTTCTAGTTGAAACCATATGTCTCTTTTCAGTAATTAAAAAGTTAATTAACGAATTATAATAATTAGCCGACTTATTGCAAACATTAGCCACCCACATAATGTCCCCCTGGCTTTATAACTGACCTGCACAAAATGCATTACTGCATCTTTTACAGATTTTTGTAATAATCTATTCAAACTAAAAAAATCACCTTGTATAAAAAAAGAAACGATGCCTTAACTTTTTCTGGATCACGCCCACCAAAGATTGATCACACGTAATCAATGAGTTGCAAGCTCCATTTTCTGCGAGTCACCGTTTCATGCGTGAAAATGAACGGCAACGGCTGGTGAGCCTTTACCAGAAGAGACAACAATATTAGTGAAAATAAGCATTTTCTTCGATTTGAGTCACCACTTGACGCCAGCTTTGCATGAAAGTGTGTGTCCCATATTTGCAACGCCTCGATTTTAACTTTTAAAATGACGGTTTTTCATGTTCGGACACATGCAAACGTTTAGGAAGATGGGAGAGTAAGGAATGTTGGATGTGCAATGTTAAGCATGATAGTACTGTGTTTAGTTTTATGCGGATAGATGAAAACTGCAAAATAATGCTGATTAGAAAGCAATGCGCACAGTAAGTAATTTACTTCTTGGGCCGGGGTTGCGGTGACATCAGAACGATATCGAGTTCTGATTGACTTTAATCAGAAGGATAGTGGGTAGACCTCAATGCTATAGTCGGATGCAACCTAAGAACAATCTTTTAGCTCCACCCACAAGCGCATTGCGCCCATCTGAAGTGCCTCCGCCGTCGAGAAAGTAGTTCGCTAGCAACGTTGCTTTTTCTTCCTCCAGGAAACCTGTCTTAAACTACTACAATATTTATTTAATTCATTCAGGACATTTAAATAAGTTAGAATACGTTTTTGTCAACGAAATAGCTGTTTAGTAAAGAAAGAAAGAAATTCATGTCCAATGTACCGTCTTCCCAATTCATTTTCTGTCCAAGATACTGTCTAACATACCGTCTAACATACCTCTCAGCAGTGCTCAGCCTCGCGCCCGCTTCGAAATTTTCGTTGGCGATAGCGTCGCTGGATTCTCACGTTGTCGCGCAAAAACTGCTGCAAACGCAAGCCGATACCATCAAGATTTCGTGGCGTAACCTCGGGCACGTAAAACACGGTGCAAAAAAGCAGAATAATTGTCACGAGAAACTATAGCATCGCGTTGCTAAGGCCAGCAGCCATGTTGAGCTTTTTTTTTTTTTTAAAAAGGATCGCGATTGGTCCACAGAATTGTGACGTCATGAAAACAATTGGCTGGCGTTTCTCGGCGTAGGATTACATGTTCCTCTGAGAGGCATTCCCGGTTTTTTCTTAGCTTGCAACCGACTATAGATGCCGGGCACAAACTACTTGCGAGTCACAAACAAGATTGCTATAATTGCGCTTTATAGTACTTGTCAGTCAATGCTGCAACTACCTCATAGCATCACTGGAAAGATCAAATGAAGTCACGTTATCCAGAATGTACCACATCATTCGTCAGTTGAGCAGTGGCATCTATTCCAAGCAGATCTTTTGTTCTTGAGGCAAAAAATATTGAAGAGAACCACACTCACAAAGGCTGAAAAACACACAGTTACCATGTCGCCTACTCTGCACCTCGCTGTAACCACTGGTAGTACCACACTGTACTATGGTAACTGCACAACCGCACGGCATCAATTTGCAACCCATGGCAACATCGCATTCTCGCACGTGCGCAGACATTTACCAAATTTTTGAAGAACCTTTGCCGAACTTTTTTTCAAAAGTTTGGCATGTACCGAACTTTGCCGAATCTGAAGTTTGGCAGATTCAGTCCATCACTAGCTAGAATAGACACTAGTTTCAGTTTCTGTGTAGTTATTTTCTGCGCCCGTGATGGCGATTTATTATAACCAAACACGCAACCAAGAAAGAGTGCTCCGCGCTGCAAACATGGCGTCCGCTTCCTTGGAAGCGTTTGAAGTCTCGTGATTCGAGGGCGTCTGCAGTTGGTTTGGTCGCTGATACTAGCAGGAGTTAGTAGCGAGATGATGTCATATCATTAGATTCTAATTGAAATAAGCCTGGAACATCGACGACTGTGCGTCGGTAAGGCTTGCTTTGGTTTCAGTTTTAGTTTTCATGTTCTTTGACGGTCATGCGTGAAAGTCCGGCTGTTTTATTCTCGTTGTCAACGCATCTGGTGGTTAGATGAGACACTCTAGTTTCAGTTTAGTTCTATTTTTTCCCACCAGATGGCAATTCATCATAATCAAATGTGCAAATATGCCTCTGCAAGCTCCAAACAGAAACAGCATTAAAACCACTGTGGACGGGCAAATTTCACCACCTTTCTTCTATGGACGATTTGGGCCCTAGCCTGCTCTGCCCCCTATGCAGAGTGCCATCGACGTGTCCTCCCATCATTTGGGACTGCCCAGAGCACTCCGCACAACTAAATCCAATTCCAGCGAGCTACGGCTTACGGGTTACGCGGATTGGACACGCTCTCACCCCACAAAGCATCCGTTCACCGGAAACACATTATTGACCCGTTGCTTGCATCCGTGCGGGCAGTGACCCTTCCCTTGTATATGCAACACTCTCTCTCTCTCTTTCTATATCTTTCTTTCTGTCTTATCTCCCCCTCCCCACTCCACCGTTTCAGATGACTACAGTCAAGTGACACGGCGGCTAATTTCAGTATCATGTAAATTAAACGTTTTAAAAACAACCGACAAGGAAGAGCGCTCCTCGCCCGGCGTGCCTCCTCAGAAGCGTCTGAGGTCTTGCGATTCAAACATGTCTGAGGTCTTGCAATTTGATCGCGCCTGCGGTCGATTTTGTTGATGACCCTAACACGAGTGAGCGGGAAAATGACGCTGGACCATTTATCAAATCGGCCCAGAACATCGGAGACTGTACATGGGTAAGGCTTGTTTTGGTTATGGTGTTAATGTTCCTTGTTGGTGTTGCGTGCAAGTTTGGACGATTTTAGCTTGTTGTCAATGCATCTGGTTAGTAGATCAGACTCTAGTTTGAGTTTCTGTATACAGTCCCCGACTGATTTTTCGGACGCTGAAAATTAGGCCTTGTTCGTTGTTTTCGACATCGACGATGAACCGTGACTTACCCAATTGAAATACAGTGCAATCCACTTATAACGATAATGAGAAAACCCGAAAATGGAATCGTTATAACCAATTATTGTTGTATCTGGAAGGTACAGGCCCGCGTCCACTCTCCCATTTTGAGTGTGCGCGGGCTCTCCTCCTCTCCCCGTAAATGGAAAGAGGAGGAGAGCCCGCGCACACTCAAAATGGGAGAGGGGACGCGGGCCTGTACCTTCCACTGCATTGCCAAGAAAAGTTGTCGCGGAGTATAGAAACCGATTGTTTCTAACTATAAACTCTATAAGCTGATAGTTATAAGCGGTATATCGTTACATGTGGTGTCGTTATAAATGGATTGCACTGTAGTATGTATTAACAACCAATTTTTCAAACAGTTTGCAGTCCGAAAGTTAGATTTTTCGGACTAAAATAGCTACGACTCGAGTGGCGGCCATCGAATGGCGGCCGCCAAGAGGCTGCCATCTTGGATCCTTCACTGGCTTGACCGTGGGCTTGGCCTGATGTTTCAGATGGATTGGATAGGTTTGACAGCACTATTTTCGTGCAGCTGAACTAGCCGCTAGGCGTGCTATGCAATGCACTTTGTCTTTGATATGCATCCTCATCATCATCTTGATTTTTTTTGCTTAATTGCTTTTTTAATCTCCAACCAACTTTTTGTTGTTTTTGAGCCAGTCGCCATCCGTGAAGTGTGGAGTCGCTGTTAACAGCTTTTAAACTTCGCACATTAATGTCTTGTGGTTTTGTCGTTTTGCCCCATGCCGATGTGTGCATTGGAGCTCACGCCTCTTCTTGCGCCTCCGCTGGGTGAGGACGTGACGCCCGGCGGAGGCGTCGGGCGTCACGTCCTCGTCCCAGCTCACGTCGCTAAAAAAGTCGCTAAGAGTACCTTATGTCATGTTACATGACATAAGGTACTCTTAGCGACTTTTTTAAGCCCACTTAGGCTCAACAAAGCCAAGTATTGTAATCTGCAGATTTTTCGGACTGCTTTATTATGCGGATATTCTTTCCAACCCCCCCCGAAGTCTGAAAAATCGGTCCGTGACTGTACCGTATTTACTCGCATAATGAACTCGCTCGGATAATGAACGCACCACCCACAACAGGTACCAATATTTTGACTTTTTTTTTTCCACTCGCGTAATGAACGAATTTCTAATTTTCAACTTTGTGAGTCTCGAATTGCGTCCAACTTAACAAGCTACCAAGCCCACCAAGCCAATTTTCTTTTGCCGCCAAGCGGTTAGGCCAAGTCAAGCCAAGCCAAACCGCTCTCATAATGGCGCTGCAAGTGTAGTTGTGAAAGTGATCAAATTATGAAACTGAGCGGCACGCAAACTTGACAAGGCTTGGGTCGAGGAATTGCCCAGTTCCGGACTGTCTTCACCTATACATGGGTTGCACGTGACGTCATTCAAAGAGCGCTCCGATGACCACCATAGAAGAGGACAAGAAGGAGCTCTCCTCTTATCATGACCCTCTTTTGTGCCTCCCGGATTTGCACAGGTGTCGCTATTCTCCTCCCAGAAGATTATAGAAGATTGACCCAACACTTGAAATTCCTACGAAACCACCTTCCCTCTCCTCCTCTTACATGGTGGTCAAAAGTATGTGATGTGACGTCAGTGCAACCCCTCTATCGGATGCATTGATGTCAACAAACAGACCGTTGGTTGAAGACTCTCTTCCTTCTCTGCATTGGCACCTCAGCTGTCAACAGTTGCATTCTTTTTCGAGCACACCGCAAGCAACACCCAAATATTCCTGAACCCTACTGAAGTGCGCGTTTTGATCAGCTGGCGTTCCGAAAGGAGCTCGCCCAACAGCTTCTTGGACTTGATGCAGAGTATGTCCAACCCCCTCCAACCCCTGAACAACTGCATCGCAAGCCCCCCAAAAAATGAAGCGGCACCACTGCAAGATAAGCTACGAAGAGTGTAAAGTTGGGCACAAGACAAATGTCTTCCACCAGTACCTGCTACATTCACTTGCGTTTTACCACATCCAGAAACTGCTTCATCGAATAGCATGCACACCGTGCTGGTTGAGACTGTGGTAAAACTTGAAAAGCATTTTTTTTTTCTTTTCATCTAGAGCACTACAATTTGCAGCCTTTCTTGCTATTGAAATTTGGCATATTTTGTATATTTTAGCTGTCATTTTTTGCCAAGATATCCACATATCTTTCTAATTTTTGCTGAGTTGACCACAATAGTTTTGGTTTTCAAAAATTGAATAATGAATAATTTATTAGGGTCATATTTCATACTTATATTATAAAAAAAAATATTTATTGAGCTAGATTTAGATATGTATACACAACAAATTTTCGAAGCATATTTTTCAGAATAAAAAAAAGGATACTGGGACCCTAAAAAAAAGGGGCAGTTTTTTCCGTGGTAAGGAAAGAGCTAAACGATACAAGAGCGGGCAATGGTTCATTAAGTACAAGATCATGCTTGTTTCTTGATAACCTGGCTACAATAACTGACACATTCCACTGCAGTTTGCTCTCCAGCTTGACAGTCCACAAAAACTTCAGCAGCTTGGAGCTGGGGCGCCACGACAGCGGCAGCACTCATATTTTTTGTCGGAGCTTCCACAACCGACCGCCAGAATCGTGACATCCAACAACATGACACGCCGACTCCTGGGATGCCATTTGTTGCTACTTCTGATGCATGGGCGGTAAAGGATGGCAAACACGCTACGGTAGTCGGAGGCTCGTTCCAGGCACCATACCAAGAATCTGTTTCATTGCGAGAACAAGCATATCGCTGCCACCTTTTACACCCTACGACCAACAAATTATGAACAAAAGGATGCAGGCAAAACCTGGGTTGCAGTCCTGGGCTTCATCCACGAAGATGCAGTCGTAGACTCCCAGCCTGGGCTTCTGTAGCTGGAAAAGCTTGAGGTACCCGTCGTGGGTCATGCGCACCTCCTTGTTGTTGGGGTCGGCCATCTTCTCCCAGAAGCTGGCCGCTTCGTCTGCCACGGCCTGCAAGGTTAGGCCGTCGATGCACTGGCACGCCTGGATCCGACTGCTTGAACACAAAGTGTCCCAGTCTCGGCACAGTCAGAGCCGATTATATTGAACCTGGCCATTTTAAATGATTCCTTACAGCAAACAATTCTAGAACATGTCGGAGGAAAAGAAAAATTGGCTGCATGTTTGGACATTCTGCCAGACGCATTTAAATGTGGTAGCTTTATAGGGTGGGCGGTGCTCTTAGTTCACGTGGCACCTAGGGCAGGGTTTTGTATGGAAACCACTGATCTTTATGACAACTGCTGGATCGCGTTTGCCCGCTCCGCAAATGCGGCCACTGGCGGCCATCTTTTTGGTAGAATTATATTAACCTCTAGCCAATGCACAGCTGCTGCAGCCACTATAATCCATCCATGGCAGACAGCGTTGTGGCATTGTGGCACGCTTTCTCAAACCACCAGCTTCTGCTCCTCCCGTTCCTGTGTGCTGGGTCCGTAGCTGTGTCAGCAGAGCACTTGGCTTCCTCGCCATTGACCAGGGGGTTTGATTCCTGGTACCGGTCGCCGGTTTCTTCAACAATGTTTAGCGGTTACGGACTGCTCGACCTAAACATTTCGTGCTTACATGGCTCCTGAGGTTGGTTGGCCCTATAGACCGTTTTACTGAAAGAGGGCGAGAGAGAAAAGGGGAAAGGGCTACCAGCGCTTTCCCCCTTTCTGATTGTGTAGAAAGAGTGAAAGTCCCAGATGAGAGGCTTCGCCAGTGTTGGCTGTTTGCTGTGCGCGAACTTTGTTCGCGCTTTCTTTCCTGTTTTAAACTCGCAAACTTAATTAGAGCCAGAGGCTTCGATGGCAACAGTCCCTCGGTCATCGGGACACCATTGCTGGGTAATAGGGTGCAGGAATAAAAACAGAAAGCATAGAACACTGTCCGAGGACATATGTAGCTTGCAAGGAACCCGTCAAGGCGAGAGCGGCTACAATGTCTTTGAGCTCCATCACTTTCCACATGACCCCTGTCTCCGGCGGCAGTGGATTGCGTCCGTAAACCGAAAAGGCGTTTCCTCAACGCCATCCTCTCGACTTCGCTCGGAACATTTCATGAATGGAGCGCGCACCGAACGCTCTACCGCCGATGAACATGGGGTAGGCTCGCAATGTGCGTGCGAGTTTTCTCATGATAACTGCTGTTTCAGCTTGTAAAATTCCGTAACTGAATTTATCTTAACAGTGATAATTTGCAGTGCTGACTGACTCGAGTTTATCATCTACAGCACTTAGTTGAAGCCTCATTTCTGCCGCCGGGTGAGGCTGGAAATTGTTGAAAACGTAGTTCTATTGTTTGTTTATTTGTTTTTTAATCGCGATCTCCTGCGCGATACCAGAGAGCCGGCAAAAGCGCTCCTTGAAGTGCCGCTGGTGGGTTGTTTCCGTTGACTAAGGCGCTTTGAGGCGCTAGATAGTCGCTGCAGGAACGTTTTGTGTGTTGCGATCTGCGTTTTCGAGCCCAGTGTGCACGTTTCTTTGTTTGAGTCATGGCATCCGCCAGTGTGGCGACGGGGGGAACAGCGGCAGCGAACGTGCCAGCGATAGAAATTGGAGGTGAGAACTCAAAATATTGCATCAAATAGTAAAATAATTCGTGGCTGCTTCGAGGCTTTCTGCGGTTCGATAAAAGTATGTCTAGAGCGTCTTCGTCGTTCATTCACAAGGAGATATAAGAACAGGGACACGAAGATAAAAACAGCACAGCAAGACGATATGTAGCAGCTCCGGGCGTTTACAAAGTTAATTGAGGTTCCCGTTCCGTGTATCGCTTGTTGATTACAACTAAAAGCGACTACGTTGAAATAGGCCCATTGCAAGCAAAAATGTATAAATGGTTCATCATTTCCAGACATGCGGAAAGCATTGGAGCTTAAAAACATTCCAGCCGTACTTGCCTTGCCGGATTCCATGCAAGCTACATAGGTCCTCGGACAGTATTCAACGCTTTCTGTCGTTATTCGTGCACCCTATCACCCAGCAATGGTGTCCCGATGACCGGGGGACTGTCGCCATCGAAGACCATGGCTCTAATTAAGTTTGGGAGTTTGAAACATAGAAGAAAGCGCGAACGAAGTTGGGGCACTGCAGACGCCCAACACCTGCCAAGCCTCTCATCCGGGACTTTCACTCTTTCTACACAATAAGAAAGGGGGAAAGCGCCAGTAGCCCTTTCCCCTTTTCTCTCTCGCTCTCAAAATGGCGCTACCCACGATAAAACGGTTTATAAAGCTACCGCTTTAAAAAACAACCAAAAGGGTATGGTCACTTCAAACATATGCGGCAACTATGGTCGAGCCTACTGAAAATAAACCTGAGAATATAAAAATATTGTATGTAAAAACTACCGTATTTACTCGTGCCCCTCCCCCCCCCCCCCCTCGACTGGCCTCAATATTTTGGCTTTTTTTTTCCCCTCCCGTAATCAACGCACCTCCAACTTTCGGATCCGTGAGTCTCGAATTGCGTCCAATTTAGCAAGCCACCAAGCCAGTCTTCTTTTGCCGCCAAGCGGTCAGGCCAAGTCAAGCCAAGTCCACCCAAGCCACGCTGCTCTCGTAATGGCCGCAAGTGTGTAGTTGCAGTAGTTACGGAAGTGATCAACCGTGAAACCGAGTGTCGCGCACACTTGACGAAGCTTGGGTCGAGAAATCGCCGAGCCCCGGACATTCTTCGCCTATCGGATGCATTGATATCAACAAACAAGCCGTCGTACATGGTCCACTTTTGGACAGTGAGATCATAAGAGTGGTTAGACCTAATTTCACATACTCGGGGTAAATGCGTTCATTTAATCCACAACAGAACGGCACAGCGAGGTGCACGCTCTGCTGTAGGTGCTGTAGGCTGAGAATGTCTGGTAGCCTCTCCGTGAACGAAACTTGATGCGTGGGAGCGGGCTTCAGGGGTCGGCGGTTGGACTTCGTACGAGTTCTGAAACTTGATCCATGCAAGGGGGCTTTCGCAGTCGGGGGTTCGACTTCCTACCAGTTCTTATACGCATAGTCGCGGATTATAACTGAGCGTGCCCACTGGATACTAGCAATATACATCGCCTAAGAACGGTCGTGTTGCTTTGCTTTTCGTGCTGAGTGAGCTTCGTAGGGCGCTTTTCCTTCGGCAAAAGGCACCCCGAAAGCGCCCTAAAAAGGTTTGCAATCTATAAAGCATGGTTATTGTGGCGCGCCCCCGACCAGCCGTGGATGCACCTCCGTCACTGGAGACGTGCCACAGTACCTTGCCGTGTCATATTGGCACCTAATATGACATTTGCACGAAGCCAGTAAATGCAAAAATTTTATCCTGTGTAATTTTAATGTAATTTTTAATCCAAATATGTGTAAACTTTTCGGGAGAAAAGGTGTGTTCATCATGCGAGTAAATACAGTGCTTTTTCATCTCACCATTGCGGCAGTAAGTAGACTTCCAAGACAACTTGAGCCCAGTTTTAATTTTAAAATACTGACATGACACCGTAGATGTAAAAAAAAATTTATTTTGTGAGAGGTAAAACTATTTCCAGAAATTGAGGGTGAAACGAAGACAGACAAACACATGCTTTTGCTCTCACTTCCTGAAGGTATAATTCAACATGCTTGTCACAACCTTTGTAAAAAAAAAAAGTGTTCTTGAAAATGATCTTAAAGGTTGACTAACAAGCAGAAAAAAAACTTTCCCTCAATTCCTCCTATTCGTCCAAAAATGAAGAAGATTCTCCTCCTCACGAGGACAACAACTGCAACAAAACGGCAGGAAACGAGCTAGGAGCAGGATGGGCTCTCAAAATGCAAACAAGGATCCTCCTGAAGTTATGCGCCCTTGCAAACACGCTTCTAGAGGTTAGTCACGGAAAATAAAGCAACGGACAACCCCGAGAAAGACAGCAGTGCTTCTCCGTGTCCGCTCGTGACTTTTGTTTTTTGAAGTTTAATCATCCCTTCTGCGGCTTTTGGGCAACCTACCCGAGGGAGGCACGGCGGCAAGTGCCGTGTTTTGCAATTATTTTGTGTGTATTAAGTTTTTTTTAACATAAATACAGATATGGCGAAATGGCCCTAAGTAAAACAATGTGTTCAAGGTGTGCATTAAAAAACTAGCGCAAAATGGAACTTTCTGCTTCTTAAAATATATGTTTATCATCTTGCAAGATGCACCAGAGATACTACTTGTACTGGGACTGCATTCAATAACACTACGGTTTTGTTTGCTTCTGTTGATTGCAAATGAATCATTCCGGTGCCACTGAAGTCCATACAAATTACGCAATGCGGAAGTATATTCAAAAGTAATTGAACAACATTTCTAAGTATCTGTACTCTACTCAAGATACTCTGCAGTGAAAGTAACTTAAGTAGTACCCTAAATACTTTATGAAGCAATTATTTAGCAACTTATCTCAAATACTTTTGTCCAGTATCTTGTCCAACACTGACTTTAGCAGACGACACTTCCTCGTCGACGCGCCTTTACCGGTGCGTTTCCCATCGGGGCTCTCCTCTCTTCCCTCTTCGTGCGGCTAATGGTAACACCAGCCTTCTTTCTCATCGCACCATGAGGGGAGAGAAGAAGGGTTTTTCCATCTCCGCTGTGACAACAGACTACAAACACCCACACCGAAATCCATGCAGTGTCCCTGGTAAAGCTATTGCTTTAAAAACTGTGATGTGCTAAACACGGCAGTGAAGACCCATTCCAAGCAACCAACTGCAACAACTGGCCCTTCGCACGTTCCGCTCTAAAGCAGTTGTCCCGCCGTTTAAACGTCTAACTGCATTCTTACCGATGATAACTCAGATCTCGCGTGCTTCCGTTGCACGCCTTGGGCTAATAGTAGCTAGGAGAATTGGCCCAGCTGGCCAGTTGCCAAACTTCTGCACTTGGAACCAACTGCGCATGTTCACAAGCGTCTTGTGTTGGCGACATATCACCCCAGACGATACTCTCTTGCCTCATTTTGTCCATTCTCAGTGTATGCCAAAAAAAAAAAAGGAAAAAAAAAACGACGAGGCAACATTTAGAAAAATTATGTATGACACATTGCTAGGCAATTGTGTTGCTTACGTGAAACATTCTAGCGTCACAAACGTTTAGCTATACTCCGAGCTTCCAGAAGTTAGAGGCCTACGTTCACAACGCTCTTCACCAGATAGTTTAACGCGTACCATGTGTACACTTGATGGTTGTTCCTAGAATGAAGCGATACCATTGCAAATTGGGCTGATAATCCTGGCGATCTTCCAGAACCTTCAATACTCGCAAGCTTCTCTCTCTCAGTGCACAGAGGCAGTCGAGCTCCTCCTCGCCTCTTCTTCTGGTCACATGACCTACCTGTCAACCTATCAGCGTCGAGTACCTTACTCCTCCTATCCCACCAGTCAACCAATCAGTGTCGAGCATCGCGACCACGCTTTTCTGTCGGCTTCACGAAATGCCGAACACCTCGCCAAAGTGCGTTTCACATTATCATCACCTCAACTCACGACAACGTGTCGTGAAACGTAGGAAAAACACTCGCTTCATAATCCAAATGGTCTTGGTTTGATTTCCGCCTGGCGCAAACGCTTTTTCGCTGCGATTCCAATCAGTGTCCAAGCCTTGCGGCCGCGCTTTTATTCAGGCTTCACTATTTTCAGGGCTTCACGAAATGCCGAGGACCTAACCAAAGAATGTTTCATGTTAAAGCATGCAGTGGCCGGGCCAGAAAGGCAGGTAATAAAACTGAGCTGCGTCTCAAACTTTTTTATAAAGAAAGCCAATGTTACAGTAGCAAACCCTCCCTACCAGTCTCTGGGCAGAGGTGAGCTGGATGGGCATGTTGTTCTCCAAGTCCATCACCTTCTGGGGCACGTGGGCTGTGGTGAGCAGCTCGTCGGCCGAGGAAAGGAAGTGCTCTACACTCTGGATCACCAGCTTGGAGAAGCGCTGCTTGTTCAGGGACAGGCCCGGGGGCATCGACACCAGCCGTGACACGTCCAGCACGCGTACTTTCGAGGTCATCTTGTCACGGTACCTGGGACGACAAAGGGGAAAAAAGCACACTGGCAACAGGAAGGACAAGACTATTCATCCCCTACGAGTGTTATGGCACTAAAGCAAAGAGTGTATGTGAACGGGAAAAGGCCAGGTCTCATGAAGCAGCATGCTGTTACAGTGCTGACGCAGCATTAATGCAACACTGTGCCTATAGTGATGGGTTAGCATGGCGCTGTATGCATGAAAAGACATAAAAGATCATTCAGATTGCGTGTGTGTCTGTGGTGTGCATGGCCTGTCATGCGATTTGAGGTGCCAAGTTGTGGTGTAAGATGACAGTGTCAAAAGCATTATTAAGGAGAAAACATTATAGGTATTATTGTTCAGTTGACCTTTCGAAAACACGTCGGCGACACGAAAGGTACCGAAACGAAAGGAACCAATAAAACGGCGCCAAAAGTGTGTCGTCGGAGAGCGTGCTGTATTTGGACGTTCACTATCACCAGGAACACAGCCGACGCCACGATCCGAGTGAGCCAATGGAATGGCGCCAAAAGTGCGTCATCAGAGAGCGCGCTGTCTTTGAGGATTCGCTGTCACCTGGACCACAGTTGACGCCACGATCCGAGTGAGTCAATGAAATGGTGCCAAAAGTGCGTCGTAAGAAAGCATGCTGTCTTCGGAGGCTCGCTATCACGTTTACATGACCACTGAGGCGAATTAGAAGATGAAATTAAGAAGGATGACAAAGTGAATTAAGAGAAATCAAAGTAAATTAATTAAATCATGTGTCTGTCTTTACTGCATTGGCGCTTGGGCTTTCATCTTCAAGTCATTTAAGCTATAATGTAAAAGACCCTGTGAATTCTTGTTTTAAGTAAGTTCGGGTGTCGAGTTGTGTTGTAATGTGACGTCAGGTCACATGAACACGTCACACGACGTCGGGTTACATGACACCGTGACTTGATTCTGTAATGTCACATGACCAAGTCACATGATACCAGGTTAAGTGTCACTGACAATGTGTCACATAAAGTGATGTCGCTTGACACCATGACTCAACACTGTGATGTCATACAACCATGTCATGTGATGTTATGTGATTACCGTATTTACATGAATGCAGGTCAACCCATTTTTCAATTTTTGAAAATCTGAAGTGGGAAGTCGACTCATAATCGAACTAAAGCATTCCACCACCGACATAAACGAAACAATCGCGATATCAAGAAAACGTTGGGTCGTTCCAAGTTCAGCCGGCTTGTAGCATTGCGCTATTTTGTGCGCTCATTTTACAAATTCTTCTTTTTCATTTGTGCCAATGAGTATTATCAATAGCAATTCGCAAATTAACCCAAATGTACCGTGGTGAACAGCGCATGGGTGACGGCATGCCCGACTCCTGCGGGTAACGGCACTTCTTAGAAGAGCTACTCCAAAGGCCGCTGTAACAGGCTCACGGCTCACTCCTCGCGGCTTCTTTTCACAGTTTCTCGCACGATTCACGGTCGCACATTGTTAGATAGTGTGTCAAGATCATGCTGGGGTAGCTAACTATGTTTTATTTTATTAACATGCGTAATCCGGGCAGTTTAGGCTTTTGGTGCTCGTTTATGATTCTTCACCCAGAAGCAACCAACAACTGCACTGTTGGGCGCAAGTTCGACCCGGCGGAGCGGGTGATGCTCCAGTGGAGTCTGCAATGGCGCAGGATCTTAAACTGTGATGGCAAACAAAGAGGCTTTCGTAGGCCAAAGTCTGGAAAGGTGGGGATGCCTCCCGGAGTTGGAGGTGAGGCTTCAAATGGTACACCGCAAAAGTGCACAAGCGGTCCCTACCAGTGACGCGCAATGCGATTGCTGTCATTTGCGAAGTGCGAGATTTTGTTGGACGCTGACGACGTACTTCGAGAACATAGCAGGGATGACGACAAGATTGGCATCACCAGTGCCAACGAGTCGTAGTCTAGTAGCGAACAGAGTGAGAACAACAGGGAGCAGGGAGCAGTTTCAGTTGTCCCGTCTCCAATGTAAACTTCCTAGTTTCGATAACACCTGGGCATCTTGCGTACCTCGTGCATGCATGTGCAGCCAAAACACCCCAGAAGGCATCGATCGCGTGTTGAAGGCTAGGCTTTCAAAACAGATACTTTGCCGTTCTAACATGTTCGCAGTAAAATGCAAATCTGAAGTTTTTTTTTGTTTTGTTTCTTTTGTTTTTGCTGATGTACAATGTGCGGGGGCCGACTTACAATCTAGTCGACTTACAATTGTGTAAATACAATAATTGGAGTGTGCCAATAAAATAAATTGCAAACAATTGCACAGAGTGTGTTGTGACTGACGGCGGTAGCTGCTACATTGTGATTTGCCTTCAGCCAGTGTTTGTATGATTTTTGTAATGGGTGTTTGCTTTCGGTGGAATTGATGTAGGAGACGTGTGTGAGGAGATGTGTGCTCTGGTGGAACGAGTGTGCAAGATGTTGCATGTGTTGGAGAAGGACACAAAGACGTGCATTTTTTTCTTTTCGCTGAAACGCTCTTTCAGAATGGGGGCGACAGCGCCTGCGGTGGACGAAGCAAAAGTATGTACAGTCAAACCCGTCTATAACGAACAGCAGGAAACGCTACGACCAGTTCGATATAGCAAAAACCATTTACAACGAACTTCTACGATGCGTTCATTGTAAGGGAGAGCTTCTCTTTCTCTCTCATCTCTTCGCTTCCACCTTGAAACAAAGCACTGGAAAGTTTTTCCTTTCTTTGCATAAGTGCAGAGTTTTTTTTTTTTTTTAGCTTATCTCCACCTTCTGAATCACTTCTCCTTGAAGGCAACCGCTTTGGCATGAAGTTTTTTCTTTTCTTTTGTACGTTGGTGCAGTGTTTTTTTTAGCTTTCTCTCCTTCTGAATTGCTTCTCTTTGTCAATTTTGTTCGCTTCTTGAGCTTTTCGAATTTTCTTTCTTTCCTAGATTTTTTTTAGGGGGAAGGGACAGGCTAGAAGATGATTGTTTGCACGTTTTTGGAAGCCTTCCCGGGGGGAAAAAAAATTTGATATAGCCAATCTGTTGTTTGTTATAAAAAGTACTTTTTACATGCATTTCTATTTAAATTTTGCCTGATTTCGATATCGACAATAATTTGCTGTACCTGGGTTCGTTCCAAACGGGTTTCACTGTATGCGAGCTGTTCTGTAAAGGCGTGGAGAGCACACGAGAATGGAACCTGGACGGTGGCAGTGGGGAGGCGAGGGAGCATGTCCGCACAGTGCGACCCCATTGCTGTTTCGAAACAGCGGCTGCCGGAGAGGAGAGCAAGGGAGAGCGTCGCCAGAGGGTACAAGAATGCAGCAGGAAGGATGGGGAGGCAGACAGTGCTCTCCCCACAATCATGTGGGTTTTTCGAAACAGCGGCGGCCCACAGGGGGGAAAGGGGGAGAGCAAGAGAGCTGGGAGGAACGACGGGGAGAGGGAGGGAAGGGCCTCTGCTGTACTGTGGGGTTTTTGCATTTGTACATGAGCATTTTTACACCGAAGCTGTTTATACACCTTTCCAAAAAACGCTCCTAGGCTGCCGCCATGTTGCTGACGCAGATGCGGCTTTTGCAACTCTCGCGCCCTCAATCAGCTAGAAATTTTCTGCCTCTCTGGAACTGTGAAGACCCGCTCAGCGCGGTTCTCAACCTACGTTTTTGCATTCAATGTTTTCTAGTCACTCTTGAAAGTTTCCACTTAATTTTGTTTATGCGTGCTGCGTACCCTTTTTGTGTTATCTGCCATTGTGAGAAATAAGGCTGGTAAGTGCCTGCCATTCAAGCTTTTCTGCTCGACATTCACGGGAAACGAAGCAGGTGAAGGACGTCGAACGACCCTCGACGCGATTTTGCGAACATTGTTCTCCCCCCTCCAAGAGGTAATCCGCGTAGAATCCTCAGTCATCTCCAAAAATAGTTGTCCGGGTTGGGGTGAGAAACGGGTCAGTCGTGTTTGTTTCTTTGCCTTGGTGCGGTTGTGAAAAAAGGAAGCTCTCCCCAAAACGTGCCCCAAAACGAAATCTCGGATTCCGTCCGATCGTCAAGATGTGACTGCCGTCGACTGTGACTGTGTTATTTGAGATCTTTCTCAAATAAACTCTTTTCGGATAACGCTGCATCGTGGGGTAAGTACGATATATGGTTAGAATGTTACCACTTCCTCAATTGTATGTCCGTGTCCTGTCCATCAGTAAACACATTATTTGTGAGCGTGAAAAATGCAATCCTTTCGGCCCTCTTCTGTTGCAATTTATTTTTGACAGCAAAGCGCTTTGTCGTTTCACATGCGGCGAATCCCGCGGCGCCGTCAAAACTGATCGTCAGAAAAAAACAAATAACTAGAACTATTCATTCCAATCGCATTCGTTCTGTCGCGCGCGTACCCAACAAAAACAGTTTAGTTTTTTTTATTTTTTTTAAATGTGGCACAATGCTTTTTCAATGTCCTCGGGAAAATACATGTACCGTGAAACACAAAATATAGGTGGAAAAGACGAGAATTCAGCTGCCAGCAGCGTTTGAAACTGCGCCTACAAGGCTGCGCCTATTGAAATCACAGTCCACTCGGTTAGGGTTGGAGGGATGCCGGTGAGAGTCTAGCCTCAAACTCAGTGACTGGGCTCGAAGACGGTTTGTTGCCCCTGGGGTCGAGTGTTTTTTGGAAAGGTGTATAGCCAGGGTTCCGTGGATTTTTCGTGTGCGGTGACTAAAAACTCTATGCTCACACCACCACACGCACATGCCTTCCCCGTATAAAAGATTCAAACTAAATAGCCAAAATGAAGCGTTGACGAACACGCACGCAAAATGCCATTTGTTTTAGGCTTTTGCTTTAAAACAGTTACTGCTGCAGATGCCGGCGCGCGCAACACCATTCACTGGATTCAGCTTGACGCTTGGGTAATTTAGCAATAGGTCTACAGTATAGACCACTTAAAACGTAACCGCTTATAGTGCAGGACCGGGTATAACGCGGCTTTTTTAAACCACCGGTTCGCCTCCCATAGAACTCCATGTAATTACATATTGCTTAAAATGCAGGCACGCGAAGGGAAATACCGGTTAGAGTGCACCGGTCAGTCGCTGCGCCGACTGACCGGCGCAGCGAGCATGCGTCCCCAGCTTCCCTGTGCGACACCAGATAACGGCGCGAGCCGCAAGCGGCCCTTGCGGGGCAAGGAGGTTGCTCGAAGAAGTGGGGAGAAGCGAAGAGAGAGGCTTCAGTTGCCATAGCGACGGAGGGACGCACACACGTGTCGTTCACGTGCGTGCGTCCCTCCGCCACGTTGGAAACAACCGCAACGACAAACCAATCACAGGTTGAGGAGAAGTGTTCGCACGCGTTGCATACCGGTCCCGGGCCGGCTGCTACTATCCGCAAACATGGCGTCGGTTGTGATCGTAGACGTAGACGGTGTGGTGGAAGCTCATCGTTCCACGTAAAAGCGCTATCCTTGACTGTAAATTTTCGTCGTGTGTCGCCATGATAACACAGCATGTACTAGAACGGAAGATCCACCTACTGGTGTGGCGATGTTGTGGCGGCACTGTCAAGACGACAGAAACGACCGTGTCGTGTTTGTTTACTTCGACTACAGTGGTGCTTTCTAAGCTTTTGTGTTTTCGAACATCGCCCGGATTTCTTCTTTGGAGCATTTCATGCCTGTGCTCAAGTTGAAGCTATTACTGGCGTGTACCGTATAATGGATGCGAATTTTCACACGTTTTCATCGCCAGAGAAAAGTGATTAGGGTTAGCAATCTTGAACGCTCACAACATCCGTCCGCAACCCGCGACGCCGTTAAAAGGCTGCGCCAGGCAAAAGTCGCTCATTTCTTTCAAAATGTGTGACACACTTGAGAGAGAAGTGCACTAGTCTGGTGAAATAAAGACTTTCCTCAAACTAAGCTTTATTTTTCATCTAACATAAAATAAATTCTTTTACAAAGGTAAATTGTCTGATGGCATGTATTTTGGCCTAAAAAATTTATGTTTTGGTTATAGCGCGGTACCGCTTATAGTGCGGATTTTCGCGACTCCCGCGACATACGTTATATGCGGTCTACACTGCATTCAGTAGATCAGTTATCAGTAGGCACCATTTTCAAGATCCGTAGACTCCCAGGTAGATAATACAGGGGTTCCTCAAAGATTTGCCGCTGTGCAGCCCGCGTCGGCCATGTCTACGCTTGCACCGCCCACTCTTTGTCGTCGTTCCACGCCATTTGCATGCCTAGTTTCCTTTCCTTTCGCTCTTTTGGGGTGGCGGCCCCGTCGCGCATTTACTTTCCGCCGGGTGGCGGTCCAGTTGCACGTGTCTAGTTTCCTCCGGCTCCTCGGTGGGGGGGGGGGGGGGGGGGGGGGGGTCTGTGTCATCTGCTAACCTTCACAGAGCAGAATGGCTCATGGTATTTTTGCCAAGAAAGGCATTAACCGCTACCGCCATAAAGATATCACGAAAACACACCGTTTTTCATACATTACAGTTCTGCCTATGATGAATTGATCGACAGATTGAAGTATAGCTGCCACTTTTACTTACTGTGAGGATGCCTAAACAACAAATCTAGTTATCTGATGAAGCTTCCTACAGTTCTCAAGAAATCCATTAAAGACTACTACCTCTCTGAACACCTGAGCACCCTACAGAGGATCAATATGTCCATCTTTTTACCGCCCCTGTTAACCCCCCGAAGTGGTATACAAATCTCAGCCAATGCAGAAAAAGGATTAACCCTTCAAATGGCCATTTAGGCATCATTTACATCCTAACAAACACACGAAGGAAAACAACTGTATTTCAAGTGAGGCTCTTACTGTGTAAATGCCACTCTCCTTATACAGTTGACTATACTCCCATCCAGCAAACACTTTGCAGCTGGATGCAAAGTGGTTTCACTCAAATGCTAAACTGATTGTACGCCATTAATTAGTATGCTCGTTGCAGCACCTATTCCTGAATTACATCACATTACACGCACAACTCACCGGAAGCCAGTAGACCTGAAGGCCAGCGAGTGAGCAGTCCGGCACTCCACGTTAGAAGAGAACGTCCTCTTCCCTATTTCGCTCACAGACCTGCGAGAAGAAAAGAGCCAACCACTGAAACCATGGGCATACGCTAGCCATCGCATGGGTGCACTTTTACGAAGATAGCAACCATAGACACGAGCATTTCTTTTAAATGCGTAACATTTAAGGGACCAGCATCAGCGCTTTTGTGTCCGCGGACGTAGCCTTGATAGAGCATGCGATCCGCGACTACTCTTTTATCTTGGAGCGTGAACTTTGCTCGGCACCCGGTCGGCAGCAGCAAAGCGAACTGCACAAAATATGGAGGCTCCCACTCCCGGCCTTTGTGTACCACCAAAGCAGGCGCAGCAAGGCGAAGGGGGGAAGGCCAAGGAAGGCGGTAACAAGGGCGCCGGGCCCAGCCTCAGCAGGTTTGAGCGCCACTTCAGGGACAATACATTAGATGCGATGTGCAATGTGTGCAACAGGTAGCGGTTTAGGGCGGACGTGAGCAAGGGCGTTCTAAATGCTATGCATTTAGAACACCCTTGGGAAATGCCAAAGAGACAACAAATTTTTTTGTAAAATTAAAAAAAAAAAAGAAAGAAAGTGTTTTTGGTGGCAACAAATGTGCCCTAAAGATCCCTTTTCTCTGCCTACTACCTTGTCCCCCTTGGGATGGTTTGTTGCCACTTAAAAGGAATGCCCCGTTAAAGCTCCAGCTTTCTGTTATGGATTTAGGGCATGCATATTGAGTGTCTGGCAAAAATTAGCGCTGTTAGCATAAGAACTACGAGTGATATTGCTTTTTTCACTTTAAAAATGATACATTTGAGGGGGGACATGGCCTGGGAGGGTCAACTTTTGAACGGTTCCCTCAAATTGATTCAAACTTTCAGGGTGAATTGAACCGTTTTAGGATGGATGACATCTAAAGTTTCAGTGTTGTAGGAAGAAGGGCGTCCACCTGAAACGTCGTGTATACCTTCCTGTCCACATATTTTTTTTAATAACACAATTAAATATATTTGCGATTTTGTGTTCAATTCTACAACATACTATACTTAACAAGCCCCAGAAAAAGAGTAACTTTATTAGGAAATTTATTAAAAAAAAAAAATAATGACTGCAATTCACAAAATGTTTGATTTAATGTGATTACCCATAAGGCAAGTTAAGGTAAAAATTAATTGTAGAAAATGCAATTCTAGAGAAAAACAATAACACCCCAAAGAGGCAGAAGATTTTAAAAAAAATTATGTGCTTTAAAATATTCCATTTTTGTCATGAGGAATTCAGCCATTTCAGGTTATGAGTGGCTTAACTTATTCCTCAGGACATTTCAGTCCAGGACACCACTGAATGAAATCTTTAGACTTTCAAAATGTAAAATGATACATTTCCTCATACCACATTTCCTGCCAAAAAGTGAAACTGAGAAAAATGCATTTGAAGTTTCAACTTCAGGTATCTTTCTTTTCTACGAGTCCGAGGTAGGCCAAATTCACCTGGAACATTGTTAGCTCCTCCGTCTTTAAGACTTCATTGTTCCCCTGGCAATAGCTACCAGTTTGTGCCGTTTGAAAATAATTTATTGTGAGATAAATCCTGCATGTTTATAAATAAAAGTTTCTGAAACCATTTTTTGGAAGTTAATAAACACAAACATGTCATTTTTGAAAAAAAAAAAGTTTTTTCTGAAAAATTTGAATTTATCTTTTTTGTGGCTCCTATCATGAAACATTAGGGGTGTGCGAATATTCACAATTTTCAAATAATTAATCGAATATTCCCCTATTCAATTTGTTAATTGAATTGAATAATAACTTTCAGAAGTTTCAAATATTTTTCCAATAATTTCCGAATACCGTTTTTACTTGCATAATGAACACACTTTTTTCCCCGAAAAATTGACCCATATTTGGGGGGGGGGGGGGGTTCATTACACAGGGTAAAATTTTTGCATTTACACACCTCGTGCAAATGTCATGTTAGGTGCCAATATGACTCGGCAAGGTACTGTGGCACGTCTCCATTGATGGAGGCGCACCCACGGCTGGTCGGGGGTGCGCCACAATAATCATGCTTTATAAATTGCAAACCTTTTCAGGGCGCTTTCGGGGTGCCTTTTGCCGAAGGAAAAGCGCCCTATGAAGCTGATTCAGCACGAAAAGCAACACAATCATTCTTAGGCGATATACAATGCTAGTATCCGGCGGGCACGCTCAGGTATAATTCGCGACTAAGCGTATACGAACTCATACGAAATCCAACCCCCGACCGCGGGAGCCCGCTCGCATGGATCAAGTTTCGTTCACGGAGACAAGAACTCGTATGAAGTCCAACCGCCAACCCCCAAGCAGCGTGCACCTCGCTGTGCCATTCTGTTGCGGATTAAATAAACGCATTTACCTGGAGTATGTGAAATTAAGCCTAACCACTTCCACGATTTCACTGTCTGAAAGCGGACCACAGACGACGGCTTGTTTGTTGACATCAGTGCATCCGATAGGCGAAGAATGTCCAGGACTCGGCAATTCCTCGACCTAAGCTTCGTCAAGTGTGCGCGACACTCGGTTTCACGGTTGATCACTTCCATAGGTACCGCAACTACGCACTTGCGGCCATTATGTGAGCAGCCTGGCTTGGCTTGGCTTGACTTGACTTGGCCTGACTACTTGGCGGCAAAAGAAAACTGGCTTGCTGGCTTGCTGAATTGGACGCAATTCAAGACTCTCGGATCCGAAAATTGGAGGTGCGTTGATTAAGGGACGGAAAAAAAAAGACAAAATATTGATGCCCGTTGTGAGGGGTGCGTTTTTTATGCGATTAAATACGGCAGTCATTATGGTGTCGCGCAACGAGATTCTATTTCAGGTGCCCCACAACGCGCCGGCACGCCTGCCATACGTGCTGTAAGAGGCAATACGTACCCTCTTCTCCTAGGCAATGATCATCATCATCGGCAGTATGTTTCTTTCTATTCGTACGTTGCTGTTGCCTCCATTTTTGCATAAGGCTGATCGTGCACGCTTTCGGAAAGCGTGTCGTGGAGACTTTTCAGGACTTTTTGCAACGGTGCACGCGCTTAGTATGAGCAGAGTAGAAGTGGATGAGCGGGAAATTCTTCGAAGAGAAAACGCAGCGGAGTGTGGAAGTTCTTCCATCGCTCCTGCGCTGCATCGTCGAAGTGCTTTGTGTGTGGCACCATCGTGGAAACGCCCACAAACACGACAATGCCTTTGTTGAATCACCTGAAGCGTCATCCGGGGGCTCGCAAGGAGTATGAAAGCGCAACTGCTGCGGCAGAGCAACATAATACTCCAAAGTCCAAGAACGCAAGTATGATGCCGGCTTTCCAGCCCCGACTGAGTAAGCAAAGTGTTCGTGCCAGGGCACTAACAAAGAAAATTTAGCTGCTTCATCGCAACTGGCCTGCACAGCTACACAGTCGTGGAGGAACCAGCATTTCTAAAGCTGATGAAATCTGCAGTGCCTGAGTACAACGTTCCTTCTCGAGCGACGTTTTTGAGGACTGCCGTGCTGGAAATGTACAATGCTGCTAGATATGCTCTCCACACTTTGCTGCACAGCGTCCTAAGGAAAGACATGGGCTGTATTGCCATTACCACTGACGGCTGGGCGTTACGAGCTGGCGACAGTTATGTGTCAGTGACGTGCCACGTGCTGAGTGAGGACTTCGTGCCTAACAGTTTTGTGCTTATGTGCCGCTGCATGCGTGAACGCCACACTGCGGAGGATCTGCGTCCTCTGATCAAGGACGTCTTTGAGGAGTGGGGCATACCTCTGACTCTTTCTTGCTTTGTAATCACTGATAACGCTCAAAACTTTGTTTCTGCAATTGCCCGAACGCTGTGGGTGCACATTGCGTGTTTTGCATATGCCTTGGAGCTTCGCGTTCAAGATGCCAAGGAAGAAACCGAGGGGTTTTCAAATGTGTGTACCAAAGTGCGAGCCATAGTGGGGCACTACAAACGGAGCAGCAGTGCAAGGGCAAGATTGCAAGATATACAAAAGACAGTGATGTGATTGGCCTAAGCCGTTTTGGAGCACCTTCTGGAGCAGCCAAAACAGAGTTTTGGAGCAGCAAAACTGGCTTTTGGAGCAGCTAAAACAGTGCTTCGGAGCAGCGAAAGTGGTTTTTGGAGCTGATATTCTTAGAAAAAAAAAAAAGATATTAATTTTAGGTGGTGGACAAACGAAGGACACATTGCTCGCCGCAATCAACCAATTATTGTCAAGATAGACCACCTGGGAGTCCTTCAACATGTAACTGAAATGCCAATGACTTAACACATTTTGCAATGCTTCAGTTCAATGATACGAATATATCGGACGAAACTGCACATATTAAAATTTATTTGAAAATGACCAGCTTAGTAGTAAATAGAGAGTTTCAGTAGATCGTTTTCAAAGGCCCGCTACAGCGCGCGCTTCAGAGCGTACATCGAAGGGGCAGCGCGAGCTCCCACTACAAGTAGCGTGACCCCAAAACACGATCTACCAAAACTCTATATTATCACATAATTAGGTTGACTAGTAATATAATAAATGGAAGAAGTCTCTAACTGATGAAACACCTAACTACTGCCGTGCCCTGCGAAATTGTCACGCGAGCGGAGATGGCTGTTCGACCGAAACCATGCCACTTCGCTCCGTCTCCAACTAATTCCCAAAATTGTATGCAAAATGTAACTGTCCAACATACGACAAAAAAAAAAACAAAAAAAAACAAAACAGTCTAGCAGCACGTGCTTGCCAGTCCGGCAGGCGAGGTACAGCTAAACACACACACACAAAAAAAAAAAAAAAAGAATGTGAGCGCATTGATGCAAGACATCGCGAGTCAGGGTCAAAAAGTTCTTGGAGCGCTTTGTGCAACGACTGAACTCGAGACAAATAAGCACGCTGTGCGGGTTCAGCATGCGGACATTGCCTTCTTTGCTTTATATCACTTTTCTTCACCAACATCTTTCGCGGCTGATTTTTCACGTACCGGGGTACGTCTCGAAAGAAAGCCTACCGAGAGAAACCTAGGCAATCAATACTTCGACACAGCAGTCTTTGAGCTAAAGGGATGTTTGTAGTAGCGTATTAAACAAGAACAGGATTGTTGTTGAATATGCGGCAGTCCTTACGTTTGTTTGGAAAGTGCCATAACTGCAGTGACGTGGGGATGGCAACACCCGACGCCACGTGACCATGGTGGCTGGCAGGCAGGGACCAAATATAGTTTGGCCACGGCCGTTGCTTTCAGGAGCGAGTGCTTCAGCCCATAAAGTAACCCCCGCTGAGCAAGAACATGGTTTCGTTTCACAGCGTGACGGCACGGCTGGTACCCAGCACGCTAGCGTCGGAGCGTCCGCACACAACCACGTCTATCATTGAAATTGTTTTTTTAAAAAGACGCGAGACGAGAGACGGCGGGAAAAATCATACAAGACCGGATGAACGATTGATGCAGGGTAGTTTATGTCGGATGGTTGCTGGCACCACCTAGCTCATGTGTGCTCAATTACGGTACTCAGTTTAGTTTCGGTTTTGAAAGATGACTGAAATTGGTCCTTTGGCGCAGGCTTGGCGCAGATTACCCATATTTTGGCAAAATGTAGCAGGATGAAGCAGGGTTAGCCCCTTGGCGCAGTTTGGCGCAATTGGCGCAGCAATCACATCACTGAAAAGAGGATGGGCATAGAAGTTTCTCTTCAGCTGGTACAAGAAGTACCCACAAGATGGAATAGTGAGTACGCCATGCTGGCGCGCCTGCTAAAGCTCAAGTCCACTGTCGCGTTAGACCTGGCAGAAACCGATACCATTGAGAACTTGGCCACGGAAGAATGGCGTCTTGTAACGGCCTTGGTGTCAGTGCTGCAACCAATTAAAGAAGCCAGAACAGCTGCTTGTGCCGAGTCTTTCCCAACACTTTCCATGGTTGTTCCACTTGTTCACTGTGTGAAGATATTGCTTTCTGAGGGTGCAAGTGGAATTCAAGACAAGGCATTCTCCCAGAATCTTCTCAGATCAGTGAAAACAAGGTTCCTGGATGTAAGCACACAGGCACCTCATGCCCTTGCCAACTTCCTTGATCCTCGATTTAAAGATATCTGCTACCACAAGGAAGAAAAAGAGAATGGGGAGTTCCTATTCCTTACAATGCTTCAGGATGTACAAGACTCAACACAGCTCACGTCCGAACAAAGTTGCACCGAACAGCAATCTCAAACCAGTGAGCAGCCTTCAGTGTGGAATATATTGAACAGCTTGGCATTGTTGAAGAAGTATGATGCACCAAGTTGTCTAATGCAAGAGGTCTACAACTACATTCAGTCTCCAGTTTTGCCGCGTACCAACAGCCTATTCCACTGGTGGCAAACTGTAGGCAAAGAAAAGTACAAGACCCTCGCATGTGCGGCGCAACAATACCTGGCAATTCCTGTAACCCAGGTTGCAAGCGAGAGACTATTCTCAACGTGCTCAAACAGTGTGACAAGCCGACGAGAGTCGCTTTCTGCAGAACACCTGGAAAAGCTTGTTTTTTTGCATGGGAACTACCTCAAGCTGATGTAACAAGCCTTCTCATTTTTTGATCTGCGAAGATAAGATGTCACCTCACTCCCATATAGCTAGTGAAAAGAACGCTGATAAGGTGCAAGATTCCTTTTCTTCTTTTATAATTCCACGTGAACTGTGATTTTATGTTCAGCATCCGTGTGAACCTTGATATTATGTTTAGCATTCGAACAGTTTAGTAGTTTTTGTCTCTATTTAAGTATATGTTGTTAACTCTAGTCATTCTCATCTATGTAGTCCCATTATTACAATGATTTTAAGAAACATTTTGGAACAAAAAACTAATTTTGTAATCTGTACTCTTTTTAGTAGCAGTTTACTTACTATTCAAAAATTATTTGAAAATTATTCAATTCGTATTCGGTACGGTGCCACAATTATTCAATTCATATTCGATTCTGTGTCAAAAATCACTATTCGCATACCCCTATAAAACATTGATCACCCGTGATTGATGGACTTCAAAACTCCCGCACAGCTCTTGTGCTGACTGCGAAATCTCAAAAGTTGGTTGAAGACTACAGTTTAAGTTTCTGCGTTTTTCTTCTCCTTTCCACGTGGCGGCGATTCTTAAGTCGAATCTGAAGACAATGGCATGTCATCATTTGAGACAGCTACGGCCACTTCCATGGGTCCGGCAAGCGCTCAGAAATGTATCGATTCTCGCGAATCCTTCATTGGTTTATTTCACTCGGAGCACAGCAGTGGGTCTGACGATGAAGTCAGATTATCACATTTTAGTTCTCATGACCTCTGCGTTGCCACATTGAGAAACTGCTCAGCCCAATGGCACGTCAGTCATGAGGGTTGACTTTAATTTTTAGTGGTTGAATAAATACTTATTGAGTTAGAACTCCACTTCTGCAGAGTTCTTTGTAGTGAAAATGCAAAATATTTAGTATATTTCAACCTTTTCTTTTACACTTTCATTTTCTACAGTATAGACCAGGGGTGGCCAGGCTGACCCGGCCTAAGAGCCGCAAACAAACCCACGAAACTTGCAAGAGCCGCGGGGGGGGGGGGGGGGCAAACTTTTGTATAGAGCAGTAAACGAAACTTGAACTACTTTCAATATGTCAGAATCAAAAGCAGACCAACTGTACGTAAGGTAACAGTAGAACAAGACTACCAAACAGCAGCCTATCTTTCAATTTAAAACGCATTCCATTTCTCTTTTCTTTTTCTGAGGGGGGGAGCCACGAGCCGCACTTATACACGCGGAGAGCCGCATGCGGCTCGCGAACCACAGCTTGGCCACCCTTGGTAAAGACATATTTTTACCCGGTTTGGCACAATATTTGGAACACAATTGTGTTTGACAAATTAAATATTGCATTAAAAGTCAAGTCTCTGCTTTGATGCTCGCATCCTTCAAAAGCCCTCATTCAGCTTAATTTCTATGGATGACATTCTATAGTAAACCTATAATAGTTTCTTCAGAAAAAAAATATTCACAAAACGTCGCATAAAGCAAACCCTTTCCCCATGGTCAGGCAGGAGTTTTAAACCACCTGTTCATTCAACATTTTACATAATGTTTGTAAAGGAACCATAAGAGCTAGAACCAAGGACAAAATGTAAAGTATGCAGAATACCGAGGTACTGAAAGCCCAACAACTTCAACTGCAGCTGAAAGAGGGATGAGCGCATAGGGCAAACTGGTGAAAAGTCGCCATAACTAAACCCGAGACAGGGAGACATCATGTGTTGTCCCTTCGTTTTACGTGCTTTCCTTCTCCTTCCGTCTCGGGTTAAGTTATATCAACTGCAGCATTTTCATGGGATTTGTGGAAAGCAGACTGGATTTCGTAAATTGGGCGAGGTATTCTCGGCGGCAGTCGTGGGAACACTTTTTTGCATTGGCTGAAACACACGCATAAAAATTGTGAGAAATGGCAACTCACTTGTTATAGACGATGCAGAGGAACTTCTTGGATGGCCGCAAGCGCGCATACTCGACCAGGGTGGACGTTTTGCCTGTTCCTGAAGAAGGTGGGGTGTCTCTTTTGCACAAGACAAGCAATCTCGGCGAAAGAACCACGTGCAATTACCTCGCCACAATGACACCGGGCCAACCCACGTAACTTCCCTGGGTCCCAAAATGGGACCTAGGGAAGTCACATGTCAGCTTCAGAAGGAACTTCTGAGGCTGACAAGCCCCTCTGTGCTCAGCATAAGGCAAGCCCGATTAAAAGTAAATTACTCATTGCTAAGATATAGGTTATCCTTTTTTTTTTGCATGCTTTGTTAGTGGGCAGAGTCGTCTGGTCAGGGGAAAATGCCATATATACTCAAATATAGATTGATCTCTTACTCGGAAAATTGGCAAGAATATAATAGGTACAATATCGTTGAAGTAAAGTAAATTTAAAAAAAATTTATTTAGGGTGTTCCTAGTTATGCTAGCTAAAACTTTATTGTCACCCGCATTGGCCATCTGATTGTCCAAATTTCTAGACAACGCCGCCCCCACCGTCGCAATGTCAGTGATGTCACGAAAAACCAGCTAAAAGTACCGAGGTGACACTCTGCAGAATGGTTGCATGGCGACTGCTGCGATAAGGCAGAGCGAGAGTTTACCATTTCTTACGAAATCGCATGATTATCATGTAAATCATGTGCCTCCAAGCAATTTTCACGAGGCACTTCACGAATTTGCAATTGACTCTGGGTTCTTAAATAAATGTCTAGAAAGCTAGCTAATTAGTAGTCTTTACTAAACAACTCAGCTCAAACAAAAAAAAAATACTGGCTGTTTCACAAAACACTGGCCAAAAGCACACAGTTGCTTTCCTTTGCATGGGTGCATGTTAACTGAGACACACCGTGGAGGTTTAACTCTGCCTATCTCACAAAGAGATTCTCGGGTATGAAATCTTTAGCCACTGGCAATCTTTTGTTGGGACAAGCGAAGAACATGGAACAGATGGAATCGTATGGGCTAAAAATTAACCAGATGAAGAGTTGCGTATAGTGGCAAAAGAACCGAGAGAGTGTCTCTGATGCGCCTACCTGCAAATGCAATGATGCGGACAATGTCGTTGGGACTCAGCTCGTGGTTGATGACCCTCATCTGCTCGTGAGTGTATTTGACGCGTTGACTAGATGTCCTGTTGATGAAGAATAATAAATAAAACATTTGTCAACGAAGTTTGTCCGCTATAACATACCTACGACATAAAACGGGAAGTGTGCCAACAGAGTAAACAACACCAAAGAAACACCTTGATTCTATGCATAAAGTGAGAAATATGCAAAATCTTTTCATACTAAATTTAGCGGATGGTGGTCATGTGATGTCATCAGTGTGTCACGTGACATTCCATCGCGTGAGACCATGATGATAGGTTGTGTGACACTGCAATTATAAACTGTACGTAATGTGATCAGCCAACATGATCATGTAACTCTAGCTTACAGAATCACATTGGTCTGATGGACCACGTGACACTTCTAGTGGTCATGTCATCACTTAACAATAGTAATTACATAATCATATGACCTACACTGATTACATGATAATGGGACGTAAATCCTATGACTGTTCCTAGACGCCCCTACCCAGCATTTGGAAACGGTAAGTGCTTCACCAATGCTGGTTATCCGTGACAATGCTGCAGATGCCACCACGTTGAACTTAAGCAGGATTAAACGAGCTGAACCGATATAGGTAAGCTCAGTTTAGCTCAACTGTCGTCAGCGGCTGAATGACAGCGACGCTATTTAGCTCCAGCTGATTGCAGTTAAGCCAACTGCCATTGTATTAGACTGGCTCCACTCACCCAAACTTGAGAATGTTCTGCTGTCCCTTATGTGACTGTTGGACGGCAGTCAAGTCCTTGAGAGTGCCCGACCACATGTTCTCGTACAGGTGAAGTGCGTAGTAGGTCCTGTAGTGGTACCTGAACAAAAGTTCGAGTGACTCTAACGTTTCCTTTCCTTAATGATTCGGCTTTTCCCAAGATTAGCGAGTAAATATTTTTAACCTCGGAGTTCGCAATAGCCACATATCAGCTACGGCTACAGCTGGAAGTAACTACGCTGTACTCCTTTGTAGCCCATTAGAAAGTGTTTATTAGTGAACATACATATATACAGGAATCGATACCACAGATCGCAGACATACGGATAAGCATTGCACGGTGCGATAAACACACGGGAACTCGTGAACTTCCGTGTCATAGGAACTGGTACCGCAAATCGTGAACGGAGCATATTCGCTTACCACAGTGCAATAAACTCCCCGCAAGCTCCCGTGTCATGGAAAATGATACCGCAGATCGTGGACGCATCAGAATCACGTTTCACAGAGCAATAAATACGCAGGAACTAGCTATGAACTCGTATGTCACGGAAACCGGTGTAGCAGATCGTGGACGCAGCAAATTCGCGTTTCGTGGTGCACACGTAGGAACCCACCACGAACTCGCATGTCACGGTAACCAATGTCGCGTGCGTGGTTGATCTGATGTGTGCGTGGTTGATGTGATGTGGGTCGGAGACAGCATAACGACCGATGGGAATCGGGGGAGGGCGGTGTTTCAGAGTTTTTAGCCTATGGATATTTGGCCAGAAAAACGGGATGGGCTATCTCTCGGGGGAGGGCACCCCTACGAAGTTTGATGGTAGGAAAAATGACGCTGCTGTGCTGGGTCCTGCAGTACAGGAATAGCTAATTCTCATTGTAGGAAAAACCGGAAGTTATGTTATTTTAACTTTAATGTGGTATACTAGAAAATGTTAGTATTCATATAAAATTAAACAATTTTGGTTGCAATTTCTGCTGCAATAACAATTTCGGTGCTCAAATGAAACTAAAAATGTGCAAACTAAAATTCAGTTGAATGTGAACAGATTTTTCCAGAAAGTTTTGAAAACATGTTCTTTTAGCAGAGCATGAGGAAGGCCAGCAGTTTTTGTAACGGAATGATAGCTCTTCCTCATCCTAGGTTGACCACAGTAGATGGCTACCCTTCTACTTTTTATAAATATATGAGGACATTTTCTGTAAAAAAAAGTGGGTTTCTACTTAATTACCCCCAAAAGCCCAATAATGAAACGAAGCAAAGCAAACAGGCAACTGGGAACTGCTCACCCATGATTGATGTTGTAGTTCTTCTGGAAGTGCAGAAGGAAGGTGGCAATGCAGTACAACGCCTCGCTGAGGGCCAGATTGTCGAGCGACGGGTGAAATAGCTGAAAGATGTCCTGGACGCTCTCCGAAACCACCACGAGTGCTGCCACAATGCACCACGGGTGTACAAACTGCAAAGGGCATGGTAAAATATCCAATCACAAATCGTCAAGTACTATTATCTAGGCTTTTCTGGTGAACTGCCAACTACACAAAGAAGATGAGGGTCCTACGGACAAGATCACAAACATAGATGAAGGGTGTCTAGCAAATTATTATTTTTTCAGGTTTTCCCTGGCAATTTCAGGTGAAACTCCCTGACCACTGTAGAGGCGGTTAAATATATAAGACCATTACAAGACAAGGCATTAAGCATTGAGCACTGCGAGGATCATTTTGCACAGGCTTAATGCAACTCGCATATTCCAAAATATTCGGATTCGTCCAGTTCGGATTAAATGAGCACTTCCTTGCCACCGATATCGTCAGTGCAGAGGCCACTTCCGGAAACACGATGAAAACACGACGCTCAACCGCACATGTCAATAACCGAATGGCAACATGGCCACACGGCCGCCAGATACATACGTTCAGATACTTTCGGCTTAAGGCTTGATTTGGATTGGGGTCTGCGGCTTTCCCATTTGTTACTAAATCTAGTACCTCTAACTGGATCTAGCCTAGTGTCACGCTCTCAATACAATCCAATGAAGGCTTGGACTGGATTTGTCGGCTGTTCTCTTTGCATCGGGTAGCACTCTACATCGGGTGAACAGAGCCCGCACTTTGCTCTAAGCAGAATTTATTGCCTATTCTTGTGCCACCAAGTCCCCAAGTCTATGTTCAGGGCACTCGATGGCGTTTCCGGCTCATTTTCCCTGACTGGGCTGGCTTTTTGACAATAGCCCTGACGATTCCCCGATTTTTCCCGGTAATTAAAAATTCCCTGACAATCCCCGGTTTTCCCGGTCGCTAGACACCCTGAGATACATAACACTAAAGAAGGGCACCATTTCTTTCGAACCTGTCAACCTCACCTTGCCAGAAAAGCAGTCCCGAAAGCCTCCTTGCAGCACTTCCGTGGCTATCTCATATTTTTCATGATTCCTCAGGACAGCTTCAAGGCCCTTTGCTTCTTTTCTAAACTTCAACATGTACCTGGAAAGCAAACATTATCTGTAGCATTAACTAATGAATGTGAAATGGAACGACAAATGCACACCGAATACAAAAACCGAGGAATCCGGGACAGGCTCAACTTCTACGCGCAAAGTGAAGAACGCAGCACGCAACACATAGAATATTTAGTCAAAGCTAAGCACTTTATCACTTGAAAGAGCTGCCTCGAAAGGCCGCGATAACCAAACACAAAAGCACCTAAAGGTAAAGAGCACTTTAAATATCGTAATCTTTACTGGCTCAGAAGAGCCGTGGCACCGCGGAAAGGCGACAGCCCGTACCATGGAGGCCCGCGGTGCCACGTCTAGTGATTATGATTATGAGATGATATATACAAGGGGGGGGGGGGGGGACGACGCGGCCTTCTCAACATCGCAAGCAGTGTTGCTTCGGGGTTTGCCAAAACACTTCTGCCAGCTGTAAGAAGTGCCTGGTTTGGGCAAAATGTCTAGGAAGGGATGCTTATCCAGCAGATAGGAAAAGCCAAAAACAAATATCGAGCATCTAGAACATGGGTTCTCAAACACTCAAACAGAGTACCATCATGATTTCCCCGGCCCCCAATCAGCCCGCAGCGCAGAGTGAGAAGGGTGAGCGCATGCGCGTGAACTCCCAGCTACTCCCAGCCGAGTGGGGAGGGTCACCATTTATATTCATTTGCCCGGTAGAATGCATGGAATCGGCATCTAAATTTCAGTTATTTCCTTTTATATTGCTGGCTCTGGCAAGATAACTATATACTGTTATTCCTTGGTGGGTTAAAAAGCTAACAAATGAAGTTTTCTCGATGTCTGACCGCAAACTTATATTCAGGAAAAAAAAAGACAGCCAGTAGCAGACAATGCGTAGTTTCAACAGTACTCTGTACGGAAAGCGTGTTTCATCAAAATGGTGGTCGTCTCCTCTTTCCTCCCTCCTTCCTTTCTCCCTCCCCCCTCCCTTGCCCCTTCGGCTCTGTCCACCCTCTCCTCCACTTTCCTCCTCTCCAGTGTCTTTGTCACCACACCCGCTGGTCAGACACTCCCAATGTATCGCACTGGTCTAGACCATCCTCGAAGACGAGAATTAGGAGCTCCAGCACCACAAAGTGGATAAAATATGTTTTTAATCCAAACAGCAGAGAATGCGCTTTTGCCATGCACAAGATGTAAAAAACTTGTTTAGCAAGAAATTTCTGACTTCTGATGTCTCAAAGCTAAAATCAGTTGAAACGTGGTTGTAAGATCATTACTATAGGCAATTAAGCAGTGCTGGGAAAAGTACATATAAAAAGTACTTGAAGTAAAGTACAAATTAAGTGAGAGGTTATGTACTTCATGTAAAGTACAAAATAAGTGAGAGTTCATGTACTTCAAGTAAAGTAGTAAGTACACTAGGTGCCATGTACAATGCAATTTAAAGTAAGTACACTAAGTGCCATAAATACAATGCACTTTAAAAATAAAGTACAAGTACTGTTTAACACAACCTTTCATGATGCCCTTTAATTCCCTCATACAATGTTTTTTTTTTACTGGTATGAATTGCTGTAGGGGCAATCGGGGGTGCATCAATTATTTTTGGAAATGGCGGTGAATAGTGGATAAAGTGGCCACAGAGTAATTCTTTTACTCTCGCTGAAAAACTACTTAACACAATTAACTTATAAAGGCACTTATTTGTGTACGTCTTACACCCGCCATTACATCACTCAGAAAAACTACCAGATGACGTCTCGAAAGACGACAGCAAGTTTTCATGTGATGATAAGCCATTTATGACATACGCCGTTTGAACGATACGTATGACACATCCCTCCAAACAGAGCAATGCTTTGTCTGCTCGCGTGTCTGGTGAGAGTTGAATATCCCCCTAGTATTGCTTCAGAGTTGACAAAGCATCATTTTGTTATACAATATTAGCAGACCAAATTTGGGAACATACTTTGAAGTCGGGGGTTGTACGTTTCTCGGAAAGTATCAGAAAGTACTTTAAGTAAAGTGCAAGTACATACTCAGAGAATGTACTTCAAGTACAAGTTTTCTAATCCTAACTGAAGTAGTACTTTAAGTATGATGTACTTAAAGGGGCCCTGCAAAGACTTTTTTACTGGTTTTTAGTTTGCACCAAACCTGAGTGCACTGAACGTAATAACTTAATTAAACTTTTCTTTTCTCAAATTTCGCTTTATTTTAAAAGTTATAGGCGAATTAAAATTACAAAAACAAGCAAGAAATAACCTCCTTCAAGACGCCCTTGGTTGCTTGAGTGGCCGTGAACTAGAGGAGGGGTAGTGAGCTCAGTGAGCGCTCACGGCAGCCGCACTCAGTGTCGACGGCGCGAGAGGGCGCCGCTAAAGCATGTTCTGGATAGGCTGTAGGTAGCGGACAGCCAGAGCGGCTCTCATTGCATTTGCTGCCCGATTAAACACTAATTTGACATGACACTTCATTGGTCACAAACGACAGCAAACACAGGGTAAAGATCAGTTCAGAATGGCAGCCACTTCGCACTGCCGTACCGCGAAACGGCTAACCGCAAGACCAAAGCTGCTCGCCGAAGGCCTTCAGAATGCTCAGAGCCGGTTGGATCCTACAGTCGATACGACCGCAGCGCCGCCACGTACATCCGGGACCTTTCCGTGTCGGCGCCTGATCCCACTACTCCTTTCTGGTATGCGCCGACTCTTCCACCGCTTGGTGGCGGGTATGTCGACGGGTCATTTCTTGTTTCCGTACTTTATAAACTGCATTTGTTTCTTTTCCAATCTAAAATAGTGAACAATAACTACTTTTATAAATAATTGAAACGGTTCGTGCCACTTATATTTTGTATTTTGACTAAAAAGAAGCTTTTAGCGGCTCTGACTAGTAGTAAGCTCAGGACCAAAGACGTCACATATTACGCGCTTTCGGCACCGCAAGTTGCACCCGTCAATGGAGGTTTCTGCGTCACCTGGTTAAAATATGATGCACTGATATTTAGTTACTCTCTCCGTGCCCGCTGGCTTGCCCGAACCCCAAGAGACGTGGAAACCGCAAAAAAAGGTAGACGCTTAAATATGATTGCAGGGCCCCTTTAAAGTGCTTCCCAACACTGCATATAAGTCATTGTGGAGTCTTTCAGAAACCACGGACACAATGTTTCCTAAATGAAGAGCGTTCACACTCACCTTCATTTGCCTTCAACTATTCTAATAAAAATAATAAGAGCCACAAAAAATTGCTAAATTTGCGTTTGTCTGTTTATTAGTCAGCATGGAGTGATATTTGTTGGGGAATAAGTTACTTAGCACTTTAATGGTTTCAATGGGGGAAAAACGTAAATGAAATAACTAGAGCAAACTATCTAAGGACAAATACTTCATTTTCAGTCAAAATTTGCCGTTGCACAGGGCACGAATTATAATTAGGAAAATCTGCTACTCCAAGTTACACCTGCTTTCTCTTTCGCAGTTTATTGCAATGACAACACGGAATTCAGAATATTTTATCAGTAATGAACCATACAAATTTCACTGACAAAAAATTTGAATCTTTACAACAAAAACCCCAAAGATGTGTGGATTTACAAAAAAAAAACTGAATGCATGGTTGCATCAAGTGCAACGACCCATGTGACATCCAGAGCACCTGACAACACGTTGCTCTCTGCCAGTCCCCTGGTTACAGACTGTTTTTCTTAGCAAATGCACAACTCTGTGGCAAACAATTAATTGGATATATCGTGTTTAAGTGCTTCGTATATAAGCAAAACATTTTTGGGGAATCTTTAGGGCTCTTTAAGAGGCATGCGTGGAAATTTCTGAGGATCCGAGGAAGGATGTTTCCCTAGGTAGAGGCATCCTCTCAGTCTTTTACGGGAACTAGTTGTCAGAAAAACATTGATCACAGATAGTTTGGTTCAACTGAGTGCTTTGAAACTGGTCAGTGCCCCTTTGTACAAAAGCTACTAGCTCATGTAAGAGTGTTACAAAAATGTAAGCTCACGACCACAAAACCTTGCCACCTCTAGTGGCAATTTACTCGCCTAATGAGTCCAGGAAGACAGCTCCTGGTGGAGCACATCTTCTCTGACTCGCAGATGCACTGGACCTCGCACACGACAGACCTGCAGTTGCCCGCTTTGAACTTGTAGTAGCGTTTCCGGTGCTGCAGGAACTGTTGGTTTGGAAGAGACAGGAACACCGTGTAAAAAACTGATGGCAACTCGAGATCACATTGGCTGCTAGTGAAGCATGCTTTGCCAGGCAGTGCTGAAAGTTTGATTCCTCACGTTCTGCTTGGCCACAGGTTCCTATAGCGGCAAATGGCCCCTCAAGGGATTCATATCACTCCACCCACAAATCGCTTCCACTCAAGGCCGGCCTTACGCCATCAAGCACACTGGGCAAACTCTGGCCGTGACGCTTCCCACCTCCCCTCCCTTTTGATCTGCCCATATCTGCTAAGTAAAACATCACCAACATCACATTGTTAGTAAACATGTGAGTAGTGGCCCAACATGAGAGTTTTGTCAGCCAAGAACTGCATTCCAAAAACGAAAGGTTATCGAGCATAAAGCGTCATGCTGGGTGCCGAGCTCAAATAAATTAGAAAGCTAAAAGAAAATTCAATAGGGTATGCAGTGGTGCCTATTATTGATGGCACCATGTGCGACCGCCCAGGTCACCCACCCCCGGGGGCGGTACTGCTTTCGCTCATAAGGCACGCGACTTCTTACGGCGATTTTCCTGCTTTTTACCATACGGTTTACATTGCAAAGTCGTGCCAATATCTGCTTTGTCCGCGGTGGTTTCTGTGAAACTAAAAGAAAATCCAACGAATTTTCTTTAGTCCCACAGTCCCACAGAAAGTGTGCTCCCTTGGTCGAGAGGATAGGCCTAGCGACCGAAAACCAACACAGAAAAACATTGAATCTCTGGGAAAAAAGAAACCGCAGAAACATGGAACCCTTAGTTATCATTGTGTTAGTCAGCAAAGAGTGAGGAATTAAAAATTGTGTCCAATAAATCAACTTTGAAATGAGTTGTTAGTTTTGTTATGGTTTTGGATTTGAGCTCTTCCCTTTTTCTCTTGACAGCACATTAGCTTACCTTGGAAGTGCAAAACACTCAATGTGAGTTAGCCTTTTAGGTAAGCTTGAAGAACGAATTGAAGAGAAATCTACCCTTTCATTTAATATTCAATTATTTTAGCACTGTGCTAGGAGCTTGCCACAAGTACCGTTCGGTGACATGGCAAGCACTATGAGATGTCTGCATGCACTATCAGACACTACTCAGCTGCAAATAGATACGACTCTTCAAAATAATGTTTTACAAATTTTTTGGGGGGTCAGGACATGCCAAAAATATTATATCTGATAACTATACTGCTAGGACTCACAGTATGCTCCTATAATTCTGCTAAATTTGTTTTGAAAATGGCGCCATAGTTTTGTGGATAAATTGATTTATATGCTGGACCCTCGGACCCGCCCCATTCGTAAAGACCACCATGGCTGAAGGGTTGGTGATGCCACCAGTCAACCGGGCTGCGTCCCCTTGCACGCACTCACAGACTTGGCTCTCTTAACATCTGGAGCTTCAGCTTCCTCGTTTGCCTTCCGCATTTTGAGCATGCGGTTCGTGACGATTATGTCTACAGCATTGCTCGCGTCGTCAAAGTCTTCGATACTGATTGCAACAGCGATGAGAGTGATTGCTATCAAGAGGTGTTGGAAGCTGTTCATTTCAACTGCGACCCGCTGGTGACAAGTTCCAGCGACGGCAAGTCACGGACAAACTCGCCGTCGTCCGAGAAAAATCTTGCGGGCACATACTGGATGGAAGGTCAAAGGGCTGGGGGCAAGAAAAGCACTAAGGTTGCCGAGTTGCATGAGCGGTTTTGATCGTACCACTGCAAGGCGAGCTTGGGCGATCACGAGGGCCCCTAAAATGAGAGTGCAGTCATGATCACGTGGCTTATGGGCACCATGGCGTTTTTAACTTAAGCACTGTTGCCTAGTCGCCAAACGAAAATAATAAAAATTTGTAAATTGATAATTGCAATTCCTAGCACTCTAAAAATTGTGAAAGTTGGTGTATATACTAGGTAGCCTATGAGCATTCCACTTCAAGAATAATCTAACAATTTAATTTCATAAAATCAAAAATTGTTCGAGTATAGAAATCCTTACATGTCCAGCTTGCAAAAAGTAAAACATTCAACATTTTTTTTTTTTCCCAATTACTTTATCGTTTTTTTATGTCAAATATTGATGGTCCTTGTCTTTTATTAAATTTTTAGCGAATATCCACCCGTGAGTATGGGTACGAGACATCTAATCAAAATATTAATTTTCTTTCGAAAAAACTAATTTTGAAGCTGACGCGTAAATTTCCGAATCAGTGGCTGCCACTCTCTGGCCACAACAAGCAGGGGCGCTCGTGACATCAAACGTACCGAAGAGCAGACGACACTCCATCCTCCACGTCGTTGTGCGTTGAGTGTCCGTGGTTTTGTGGATTGCATCTGGTTAAGGCTATTTGCGGTATGCAATGGAGGGTGGGGTGAATCAGCTGTGCTGTGGGATGTAATAACACCACGAAGAAATGCAGTAGAGTGACATCTTATCGGTCTACGACTGATAAGTTTCTGCAATGGAAGTGGGTTCAAATAGTCCAACGCCAATGCTGTAAGGTAGCGTTCGCGTTGTGCTAAAAAATGTTTGCACCGTGCTAGCAAAAAAAAAAACAACCTTCCATAACATTTCGCTTCTGAAGCACCATCTAGGTCCACATGTCAGCGGATTGCGAGTGCAGCCACCACGGGCAGTCCCCTCGGAGGCAAAGCCGGCAGATAGAATGCAAATGTTGACTTCTCTGAAATCTTGCGCTGAAAATCTTGGAACATTTGCTAGTTATTGCTGGGCTCAGACAAGCTTGATGAATCATGGCCCATTATTTTCCACGGACAATCGTGACGGCCTTCCAACTGCTTCCAACACCAGAAGAAACGGGATCCAGCTGCCCGTATGCCGATCTTTAAACAACATCTAATGTCGCAACAAGATGGCGGACCAGGGAAGTTCCAGGTTAGGTTTGGTTTCGGCCATACCATATTTCTACAATTTAGAATTGTATAGAGAGATTTTGGGAGATTTACATGATATTCTAGGCGCAGTCTTCTGTGCTCCTTTAGGAATTAAGTTTAGTTGAAAACGTTCAAATTGATGCCGGACTCCCTTTTAACACTGCCATATTATTTTTTCATAAAAGAAGACATGTGGGGTCCCGTAACTTCCATTGAACAGCATGCAAAACATTGCAAAAAGAACCTGTGCAGGTACAATCAAATGTGTTTTCAGAGACTAACTGCGAGTATGTTGCTCTCACCGTTGGATCGCCGATGACTTGGAGCCATCTGCGGCAGACACGGTTGCAGGTCAACAAGAGCTCCTGGAGGCTTATGTTGGCAAAGACAGCCTCCAGCACTTCGGTGGGAAGCCGGTCAAAAGGATTGCTCAGCTCTGTCTCGGGAACCACCTCCGGGCACAGGAGTCCAAACACTTCAGTGATCACCACGGAGTCGTCGGAGTCATCAGAGTCCCCCTCCAGAGGGTACTGCCACTTGGAGTCTTCTACGGCATCCCAGGGGAGCGCATTGCATGAAAACCAAGACCTGTTACGCTTGCCTTGCTGAGATTAAGAACTCTAACCAAAAAGGGAAACTTTTTATTTGGTTTCCTCGATACGCAGGCTTTATTAAATGACCTGGCAGGGAATGACAATGGGACTCCCACTATTAATGTAGCTTTGCTTCCAGCATAGCACTCCAAAACTATTTTTACTAGGGTTGCTTTATTTTTTGCGAGCAAGGGTGCATGGCCTTTGGCAAGCCTTTGCTCTATCTAGAAGAGTTTGTGAAACAAGCTTTTTTCCATTTGCGGAACTGAAATTAGCTCTGTACAAGGAGCAGCGTGCTGAGGCATTAAAAACCTAAGTGGCACTTGATCACCGCCTGACTTCAGAACACATCATACTATGTAGCACCAGTTAGAGCACTGCACAGACCTCTAGTCTTACACAACCCTGGCCCGGCCCAATGGGATGCCTGCCAGATCTGGCCCAGCTAGAGGTGCCTCGACAGTGGGAGATAAAGCACACCTCGGGCGCGAGTCCGGATCCGGCCCAAGATCAATGCGTATTACCCGGCCTGTGCAGAGCTCCATCGCCAGTCCCTGTTCACCCGCGAAGAAACCAGGTGGAGACTCCAGATAAGCTCAGAGCGAAGAGATGCGAATGTGCATCGAGAAACCACACACTGAGGAGTTACAGATAATAACTAGGGTTCTTAAAAGATTCCGTGGTTACGCGGAATGCAGTTGTAAGACTGCCTCACCTTTGATAGAACCGACGAAAGAAAGCGACGAAGGCCCAGCAGCTTGAGGACAGCGATGCTCCTCGTCAAACTGGGCGCCAAGCTTCTTAGGAGACGTTTCGAAGTAACGCGTGATCTTGTTGTTCTGGGGCATCGTCTTGGCCCTCTTGCGCTTCCCCGGAGAGCCTTCGGGTGTCCTGCCGTTCTCTGGGCGGTTCGTGGCAGAGCTCCTCCTGTCGCTGCTGCCGGCGCAGCTGGCCAACAACAGTGCATGCGCCGACTGAAAGCTGGGGTACCTCAAAGACATGTCCTGGCCGGGGGCTGGGGTGTCGGAGGTGCCGCTCTTCGATGAGTTCGCTGCGCTGCGGCTCATCCTAGGCCTCTGAGCTGGGTAGAGACCCCGGTGAGGATCCCTCGACGATCTCTTGACGACGGACGGCGTGGCTAACGACGCGATGCCCTCGCGAGATCCGGCCAGCCTCTGGCAGTCGGCGTAGTCTAAACGAGCCTTCCGCTTGTTCAACATTCCACTCGAAGCGTCTATGGTTTTGTTATACGCCAAAACCAAGAGCAAAACGGAACCGTGAAGATCGGGAAAACGGTGCACTGCAAGCGATTTAACATCAATCATCCACTAAACGAACGATCGGTTGGCATTGTTAAAAAGCGCGAAGCCTCACTAACGCCGGCAGATAACCGTATGTCAATGTTATTAGTCCTCATTGTACACGATCGCACGTTAATTGTATTGATTACATGCGCTGAACCTGAAGGTAGTTGTCAAGCTTATAGCTTATCACGCCAGCGACTACAGCCATAAGGCTCAAGTCGCAAAATGATCTTGGCGATATTTCGAGCGAGTTACCTTCTGGTACTGTGTTGTAAAGTGTCCAAACTGCATCCAATATCAAAACTCCTTAATTTGTCCAAACCGCCAAAGCAGCCACAACACCACAGGAAAAGAAACCGAATTGAAAATGAAAAAAAGAAAACGTTAACACAATGTTGTTTGCTCAAAAGTCATAACGATCGCCGCCTTATATTCCTTCATAAAAAAATGAAAGACCAATTTTTTCTACTTATATACTTTAAATAGGTGCCGCTTCTTAAATTAATATTCAGATATGTCTAACTTTGGAAGGACACAAAAGTTATCTTATCTAAAGGACCGCTTCTTCGCTGCCATAGGAACCGTGCGCATCTAATTCAAGCCCCGACCAGGACGCCCCTAGCGGCAAACGGGTCCATTGCATCGGGGAGCTCCTGCCAGTCGCTGCGTTGGTTGTGCGTTGAAGTGGGTTAGCGCTAGGGGTATGGTGCCTGGATCGCGTCTCCGACTGGTGTGTTTAGCGTCCTATCCCGCCCATACATCAAAAGTGGTCCCCAAGTGGCAACAAATGACATCACAGAAGCAGGAGTGTCATGCTGTTGCCTGTCGCGATCCTGGCGGTTGGCCGTAGAAATGCTGGCGAAAAGGATGAGCGAACGCGAGGGTCGCTGTCGTCACGGCATCCCAGGCGTCCCAACTTCCCGCTGCTCTAGCTTCCGTGAACTGTCACAGTGGAGAGCGATCTGCAGCAGAACAGGCGTCTGCCATTTTCGCCATAACAGTTGGAACGCCGCCAGGGTCGCGACCGGCGACAACATGACACTTCTATGACGTCATCAGGCGGAAATCGAGGGACCACTTTTTTGGCCGCGGTAAGCACACCAGTCGGAGACGCGTTCCAGGCACCATACTAGGGGTGCCGCGAACATTTTTTCGAATCGAAGTTTCGATTATCGAATCAAGCGGTCCGAAAGGTTCGAAAGATTTCGATTTTTCGAATTGTCTACATCGTAAAATTCGACGGAAGTCGAATTTTCGACCTTGTTAAGAAGTTCGACGCTTTTCGAACCATCGAACTTATTACGCTACAAAATTCGATCTTTTTCGAACTTTCGAAGTTATTGCGCTGCAAAGTTCGATGCTTGTCGAACTTCCGAACTTAACTGACCAAAAAATTCGATGAATTTCGAACTTTCGAACTTATTTATCAAGAGAATTCGAAAAGTTTCGAACTTTCGAATCCTGAAAAGTCAGAATTCGACGAACTTCAAACTTTTAGGGTAAAAGTTCGACGTTCGTCGAACTTCGAAAGACCGGCGGACGGTTTCATTTGAATTCAAGTAATGAGGTACATTCGTAATCTTTTTTTCTCGAACTTTTGCACGCGGTGCTGCGTTCCTTACGAAAGACAATGCCGTTTGTTTCAATGTTCTGGCATGCTTAGTTTTAAAGAAATAAATTCCCGAAGGGGCGAGGAAGGACGACGGGTTTTTGACGATTATCGTTTGTGCCAGATTTGAAGCGCGCTGTAGCCGAAGCTATTTATGGTAGAGATGTTATACTTTTTTAAAGAATGATCTATGTATAGCCTAGGTAAGTGCCGTCTTAAGATGTGATTATTGTTATTCAACGTAAGTTTCGAAGAAATGTCCAAACATGTATCTACATGCAATTATGCCCTAAACTTGATATTTATTTTCGTCTAAGTTGTTTGAGGTATCGTATTTAAATTAACACCACGGACAGTACATATCATTGCCATCTGCAGAATACGAAATAATGTATTTATTGTTTTTTCACGTAATTAACTCATGGGAGAAGATTTCTAATAGTGTTCAAGTTCAGCACGTCATTAAAAGAAAACTTTTTTTTTTTTCGCTTCGCGTTCCTGGGACGTGTTTCTTTTAGCCTGTACACATTTTGGTAAAAGAAACTTGTTTCGAAGTTCTGAACCTCTGAATATGCAAGAATACAACACTTCCGGCGGATTCTTGATAGTTTTTTTTTTTCTCCAGCTTTTTATCCCCGCATTTATTCCTTTTTTTTTTTTTTTTTTTTTTTTACTATTGACACAGGTATTTAGGCTGAAAAGACATAGCTTTGAACTTCCGAATCACTAAGCATGTGACGAGTAGTGCCTTCTGACAACGAGTTTCTAACAATGACCATCTACGCAATCTTTTATGCAGTGAAGAGCAACAGTAGCTATACATATGCTTAAATAATTTCAGATTAAAATTAGCTCGACCACGTCCTCTTTCCCCGTATTGTTTTCTTTAACAGTCCGAAATATCTGGACGGGGGGAAGGAAACTGAAGCCCCCCCCCCCCCCCCCCCCCCCCCCCGCTACCCTCTTTCCCCCCGTTTTTCCTCTTCCGACGCCACTCGTATGGTAGAACGCTCCTCGACCTCGAGTTGTGTCGGCTTTTTTGCGAGGCGATTCCTCCGTCCCAGAAAATAAACCTCCAGGACAATTACAAACTTAACTTACTAAATGCCAGCGCCATTCGAGCGGCGTTCGATTGGATTACTACCAGCGTGCAGTGGGTGGCGAGGTAGTTTGCCAGGTCGCTACAACGTTTTTCTGAGCCTCAACCTACTGGTCGCCCCTGGCCGTTTCGAACTGGATGAGTCTCGTAAAACAGTGTGTTCGTGTGATCACTACTGCGTGATGCAGGTTAAAGACCCCCCCCCCCCCCCCCCCCCCCCCGGGCTGGCAGTCACAATTACTGATCTATGGTCAGACGTCACTCTGCACTGCCAAATATTCCAGCACATCCGGGACACTCGTCGTCTCATTTAATTGCCTGACCAACTTCGCAGAATCTAGATATCACACCCTAACTTTTCTAAACTTGATTTTGTGAAAACCAGTGAGTCGTGAAAACGTTATTTGCAACAAACTGTGGAGGAACTTGAAAACCGGACTTCGAACTTTGAAAACTTGGACCAGAAAGGAATTCAAAATTTCGAAAAAAAATTTTTTTTTTCGAATTCAGCGATAAAAGAGAATCGAACCTTCGAACTTTTCGAACTTTTTGCAGAAAGAAATTCGAAATCTTCGAATTGTTCGAACTTCATGTCTATAAAAATTCGAAGCGTTCGAAGTTTTTGAATTTTATTTCCAAAGAATTTCGAAATAATCGAATTTATCGAACCTGAAGTAAAAACATATTCGAAATATTCGAATTCGAAATTTTAGAGACCGTGAAAGCTTCGAACTTTTCGAATTCGAAACTCCACCGTGATCGAAAGTTGCGAATTTTTCGAATTCGAACCTCGGAGGGTACGAAAAGATCAAAAATTTTTCGAAATCGAACCTCAGTTCGCTTCGCAAATATCGAAACCTTTCGAAATCGAACCTGGGGTGGTTCGCGACATCCCTAGTTAGCGCTGTAATTTCTGAGATGGCTATTCCGCACCAAGAAAGGCGCAACAATTGCTGCGTGGTCGGCTGCAACAGTACGTCGAAGATCGCGCACGGCGCGTAGTACTACATCGTCTCTTCGAAGCCGTACGAGGCGGAGTACTGCGCGATCTGGGTGCGACTTGTGCGTCCATACAGGTTAGTGGCGTTTCTAACCTTCCAGTTCATATAATTGACTTTTTTTTTCTATTCTAGCGACGATGGAACAGCATCGACACCTACGGCAAACTCTAAAATATGCAGCAAATACTTCACCGGAATCGACAAGCGGAATGCGGTCGCCCACCTAAGCCTACCCTTGGATGTTTCCATCAGCCTACAGTGGGAATCGCGGAACGGCGCGAAAAAAATCGCCCAGTTATTGTCAAGCTGATTCAGAAATAAAAGGTACATAATTACCACAGTCCACTCAACGCCCACTACATTTTTTGCGGGCGCGCTTAATTTTGTTAGCGGAGTACGGCGCTCCATGACATCCACTTGTCCGTCGAAACGGACCTCCTTCTCGTCGTACACGCGGCCAGATTCACGAAGGAGTTTTCCCTTCTTCTGAATTCGTAGCCACCTTAAGAGGGCGCGGTACCTCTATTTATTCGTCCGTTTCAGCCACCAGATGGCGCGCGGCTCGAAACGTGGTTGAACGCGCAACTTCTAGATGGCGCCAGTATCGAGGTGTGAAAAGGCCCGCGTTATCCGCTGCGTGAAATAGATCCCGAAATCTGCCGTGTTCTCCCGGCGGAGGAAGTTTCTCCCTCCCTCGCGCGCGCTTGGTATGTACGCGCGGTGACCGAGTCCGGCCTCTGCGCTGTGTGATGCAGTGGGTGGCGCTCGTTTCTGTTCGGAGGTAGGAATAAAAATGCCGGTCCCCTTTTTTACGACGCTCGTTTCTATAGCTTGTTTTTCTTTTTTTTTTTTTATCTCAAGTGACCTACAGTACCGCCTGTTCGAAATCGTCCTTTGCGGTGAGCGATTGAGAGTCAGGTTAGCATTTTATTTGGGTCAGCACTACACGTTTAATGGAGACCTCGGGCGGCGATGTAAATATGCATTGCTTCCCAAAGTGTGTCCAAGGTGCGCAATGACAATTGGAAAGGGTATTGAATTCGCGCGACCGTCGGTTGGTAAAATACGTGCGTTAGATTCACTTATTCAGTCTAATCATTTTTGCCAACGTCTTTTATCTGTTTCGACAAATGACATGGTCGAGTCTATTGATAACCTTAGCTAGATTGGACGTACGGAGTGTCCGGGCTTTAAATAAATTTGCTTCGTTTATGTGGATGAATAACTGTTTTCTCTTTTCCGTGCTCGGTGCTATGCAAAAATCGCTGAGATGTTATGGTAGCTCAGTGTGGCGGCGTTTTGCACGCTGACTCGCTATTGCATTCGCTGTGCACAATATGTGTTCAGATGGAATGTGCCAAATCGTATTTCCGATCGATATGATAGATTTACTTTGCTACAGTGTTAATTATATTTTCCTGATTTAAACTGGTTCGTCCCTGATCTGAGCCTAAGTTTAAATTCGAAGGGCAGACAGACTTAGCGTCGTAACAGCCGTAATGCGCAGAAAGAAATTAGTACCATGAAAGAAAAACAAAAGGATACGAGGTGGCTCAGTGTTATAGAAGTAATGAGTGTGCAAAGGATGGGATACGGTCCATTCGTCACATGCACACTCGTCACAGGACGATTGGTCACAGGACGATTCGTCACACAGGAACATTCGTCATAGGATGACTCGTCACGCGGCCAACCGGTCTCACAATAGTTCGTCCCCCCAAAAATGTATTGTTCAATTTGGTTCGGGCGGACAAAGGCGAAGAATTTGTAAGGAACGTTTTAGCTTCTGATTCGGTCCCGAACATTGAATGTTGGTTGGGCCTCAGAAAGTCGGTCACCTCTTATCTTAGCATGTCTTTCGCTTCTCGAGGTCAAAGAATTTGTAACAGACGTTCTAGCTATCTGGGTCCGTCCT